GCGCTGGGTTGCGAAGCTGCCTGCAGCTTCTGCAGCACTGGTTTGATCCCCGGCTGCTCCCCGGCCACCAGAGGAGGGTCCCACATGGCGCACAGGCCTCTCCTGCTGCCCGCTGCTCCCCTCAGCAGTGTACTTGGGTCCTTCTGCCTGCTCTGCTCCCTGCTCTGGCTCTGGTGAATTCTCTCACCCTCTTGCGCTTCTGACTGTACCCAGTGCTTGTATAAATAAATAAAAAATAAATAAATCTTAAAAAAAAAAAAAAGTCAGTTTGGCTGGGAGTTGCCAGTTCACCATGTAAATGCTTCAGGGAGAGGGTTCTGTGCGCACAGAGCAACAAAGGCCCTGAGGCAGAGCCTCTGCCTGTTATGTTTGGGGAATGTGGAAGAGGACACTGTGCCAGGAGCCAAGCGAGGGGGTGGGGGGGGGAGAGAGAGACAGAGACTCAGTAGCAGTGAGGGGGGAGGGGATGGGCAGAACAGGGATTTGTGACCACAGGAGGACATGGGTAGTGAGTGAAGTGGGAGGTCTCTAGACAGAGGGGAACAGACTCTGATTGAGTGTCCACAGGTGGCCTGTGACCACTCTGGGGTGAGCAGAGAGGGGTGAGGATGGGCAGTCTGCAAGGCAGCATCTACCCTGGCCCAAGCAAGTACTGATGGATCTGGCCAGTGACCTTTTTTTTTTTAGTTAAAATTTTTTTGGTGAGATTTATTTTTATACAAGAGATGGGGTACAGGCCAGAGGCGCAGGAGGGTGAAAGGATTCACCGGAGACAGAGCGGGGAGCAGAACAGGCAGACGACCAAAATACACTGCTGAGGGGAGCAGCGGGCGTGACAGGAGAGGTGTGGCACACCATGTGGGAATCTCCCTAGCCAGCCGGGAATCAAACTGGCACTGCAAAGGCTGCAGACAGCTTCACAGTGCTGCGCTCAACCCGCTGCGCCACCGAGGAGGAAGATTTATTTACTTATGCATACAAGAAGTGGGGTACAGGCCAGAGGTGTGGGTGTGAGAGGATTCACCAGAGACAGAGCGGGAATAGAACAGGTGGATTGACTGAAATATACTGCTGAGGGGAGCAGCGGGCGAGACAGAAGAGCTCTGCTGCGCCATGTAGGTCACCTCCCAGGGGATAGAACTCATGCAGTGGCTGTGGATAGCTTCACAGTGCTGACGCTTAACCCTTGCGCCACTAGGGAGGCCCCGCCAATGACCTTTGATATGGAATGAGAGATGAGATGATTCAGGCTCCATTTGGAAGTGGAGCCAGCAGCACTTGATGCCAGGTAGATTTGGGGGTGAGAAGTGGGGGAGCCCCAGCTCTGCAACCTAAGTCAGGGGATAACGACCCTAGGTGTATGACCCTAGGTGACCTCAAAGACTCAGTGGCACTTGTTTGGGGTCACTAAGTACTGGCCAGCTCCAAGTGACCAGTGGTCACTGTTGGACAGTGTCTTACTGGGTGCAGATGAAGCAGGGACCATGAGGTATGAAATGCTGAACGCTGAGGCTCTGGAGACCTGGGTGGGTGGAGGTGACTGGGTCTTCTTCAGTGATGTCCCACTCATGTTCCCATCCAGTCTCTGCTCCTTCCTTGCTGAGTAGTCTGAGCAAGCCATAAAACTTTGAGCCTTACCCATGTGTGAAATGGGGATACTGGCTCTGGCATTTTTCCTTTGGCTTTGCAAGGGGGCTTGCTGAACTGTTGCTCAAGATCCGGTTAGAACAGGGCAAGGCAGGTGGCCGGTGTTCCCTGTGCAGGCTCTAGTCAGAGCCTGAGAGAGTAAAACAGGTACCGCAAGGGCCCGGAAGATGGGGATCCTGCCCCACAAGGGGCTCTTCTTGTGCTTGGCATTGTGCTGAGGTCTGCCCGCTACCCCATGTGTGAGGATTTGGCATGAAGAAGGGATCCCAGTCCAGGGTACCTGCTGTAATATCTGCCACCAGGCTGCTCAGGTGAGGGATGGCCTAGGCTGTGGTCAAACTTCCAGCTGATTCATCTTCTGCTGGTTTTATCTCTTTGGTTTTCTCTCCTCTGAGAGGCCTCTGCCTTCCTACCCACCACCAACCTGGGGTTTCAGTCTCCATTGTTTCTGCAGATAGATATCCTTGCCCTTTTGGAGTCTGGAAATCAAAAGGTTCCTGGTGGGGCATGTACTCTGTCAAATGACAATAAACAAATAGCCTGGGCTTCTGATCCACCTCCTGCCAGGCCCTTCCCTTCCTGTCTGCTACCGCCTGCCCTAGAGCCCTCATCATCTTCTAAGGAGAGATGGCCCATTTTAGAGCTTGGAAACTGAGGTTCCAAGGGGGTGCAGTGACATATCAGATCATGAAGTCAGCTGGGTCCCTCAGAGTAGACAGGTGGTGTCCTCCCATCCCATAGATGGCCATGCCAGTGCCCAAAAGGGCAGAGACCTGCTCAGGGCCACATAGCTTGTGGGGCCAGAACAGGTTTTTGACTACAGAGAATCCTTGTTCCTCCTGTCCATTTAACAGGCATTTAATGAGCACCTGCTATATACCACGTACTGTTTTAGTTGCTGGAGATCCAGTGGTGAGCAGGCCAAGGTTGAAGAAGTCCCAGTCTGTCACAGAACTTGACCTCCAGTGGAGGTCATATTGGTAGGAGTGGGAAAGGGTGCCTTTAGGAGGGAGCAGGGTGATATACTCTATCTGCCTGAGGTACGTGGGCAGGGCTTGTGGGGCAGGGTTTCCTGGTAGAGGGAACAACTCCTACAGAGGCTTGGAGGCCAGAAATACAGGAAAGATCCCTAGAGGATGAAGGTACAGCATGGGATTCGGGGATGGGCAAGTAGAGGAACCCATTAAAGATGGGATTGGTCACATGGCCTATGCAGAAAAGAGACTTGGAGATACAGGTCTTTGTTTTAGAAAGACAACCACAGATGACTCAGGAGGAGGATGGATCAGGAGCTGAGGACCAGGCTGAAGCCTGTGGATTAGAAGCCAGGTGTGGAAATGATCAGGGTTAGCAGTTACTGAGCACTTCCTATCTTGTCAGGGAACAGAATAGACCCCAAGTCGTTCCCTGGGGAGTTGACATGGGGTGACAGGGAGACAAGTAGCAGATAAGTGACATACAGAATGTTAGTAGTTATGGGAAATAGTGGAGGGACTGGGGGTTGGACCTCTGGTGAGGGTAGGAGAAGTCTCTAGGGAGAAGTCATTTGAGTCAGAGTTGTGGGTTGTTTGTTGTGTCTGCCAGCTGCCCTCGGAGGTAGGTGGACTTACCCTATCTTACTGACCTGGAAACCCAGACCACAGAGGCAGGGAAGCCAGCCGAGGTCACACAGCACATGGGGTAGCCAGGGCGCCCAGCAGCCCTCGTAGCAGAGAGAAGAAGTTGGTGGGGGGGTACTTTCAATCTCCTGGAGGAACTGGTGACCCATGGAACTTGAGTGGAGTGGGAGAGGAGGAAGCAGATTGATCAGACTTGAAAGTCACCTCCAAATGATTGTGTTACAGGAGTTGCTGCTTGGGAGTTGGTTTCCTTCCACCACCCAGACTGGGAAGGGTCCAGAGTGCGCTCTTGCTACTGTGTCTCAGAAAGCTTTTGTGTACCTTAGGGCCCAGCAGGACAGGCCCATCCTCCCTGAGTCTCTCAGAGAATTTGGGGGGACTGTCCAGGTTGAGGGTGGCTGTCATAGACCTTCCAACTTGAAGTCCGGGAGCTTCTAGAACTCAATCTGACGAGGTCCCGTGTATTTGCCCAGCTCGTTCCCCTAGGCTTCTCCCTGAGGGTCTCTACCTCCTCTGCCTGGGCTAGGCCCCACCCCCATTTGTCCTGTCTGCTCATCACCAAGTGCCCAGACCTGAAAGTCACCTTCCCTGCCTTATGCCTGAAGTTTTTGGGGCTCGTTTGGACATCATAGTGGCTCTTGTGTTGTATTGAGGCTCTCATTGTTCCTTGTCTGTGGTGTCACCACTGTGTTCACAGTGCCTGGCCCCTCCCCCACAGTCCCAGAGTAGTCACAGGACAGCACATTCAGCACCAGTGGCCGATGTCCTGGCTCTGACTGGAGAGACACTGTAGCTTGTGTGCGACGTGAAGACCCAGAGACTAAGTGACCTGGTGGTAAGGGGCTAAGGCCCCATAGACTTCAGACCACACTCCCACCACTCTGGGATGGCAGGCACCCAACCCCTTGGCCTAGCTGCATGCTTTAAATGGAGTTCACAGATCTATCTCCTTGGATCTTGTCATGGTTATATGGCTCAAATCCACAGAAAATTCTCAGCTCCTTGCTGGCATGCACCACATTTGACAACTGTTAGCTACTCTTAAAAATAATTTTTTACAGTAATTCATGTGAATGATGCAGAATTCAAAAGTGTTCCAGAACATGCAATGATTTTCCCTCCCAACAGGTCCCGGCCTCCCTGGGCTCTATTTTGTTACTTGTTAAATTTTCTTTAGTCACAAAACAGACACTTTCCCTTCACTTAGCACACTCAGAAGGAAGTTGCATGTGAGGAAATTAAAAGCTCTATTTTTGCTTTCTGGGGCTGCAGAGTGGCACAGATAGGCTGTAATTTATTTTGTCGTCTTAGTGCACTTTAAAGTTCTATAGATGTGAGCTCTTCTTCCTACTGAGAAACTGACAAGATTGTGATGGTTTCTGTGGACCAGTTTCACAGAGTGGTACTCTGGACCTCTGTATCCCAATCTTCACCAATGCACCTTCCTGGACTTGTTTCTACCTGTGACCTTACTGAGATTTAACTCAGATACAGTAAATTGCCCCAGTCGCAGGATTTTTAAAATAACTGCAAGTTCCCGCACAACTACTGACAGATCAAGATAGAGGATGTTATCATGATACCAGAAATTCCCTTGTGCCCCCTTCGGTCATTTCCTCCAGAGTGAACCAACCACTCTGATTCTGAAACTTGTTTTGCCTGTCCAAATTCAAGTCTACCCTTTGACTCAGAGAAACCAGGGCTTATGTCTACAAAACGCAAGTGTGAGTGTGTTCATAGCAGCTTTATTTGTGATGGCCCCTCATGGGAACTGGAAAGACCCAAAGTGCCCCTTCCACTAGTTGGTGGTCGAACAGACTGGCCATCCATGCAGCAGTGAAAAGGCACCAACTTCAGTCACACGCAGACAGGATGCTGGGGATCCCATTCATGCCAGTCCTGTATTCAGTATCGACACTCCATCTGAGAGGTGGAATGGGAGATACTGGTGAAGGGGCCCAAGCTGTCACCAGAGCTGTTGGTGATTTCTGTGTGGGAGGGTGGATGACCGTGATTTTGAGACGCCAGGTGTCTGATGTCTTCACCTGTCCCCAGTTCTCAGGTTCCTGTCTGTCATCCAGGTGGCTTGGGGTTCCAGGAGAGTCAGGGCCAAGGCTACACTTGGTGCTTGGGGAAGGGGAGGTCATGGTCCTTAGCCACTGCATCCTGGAGGAACATAATAAAATATGTATCTTTTTTATTAAATGGTTTATTCAGAAGTGCCTTATATACTAGGAAATGTACCAGTTTCAAATGTGATTTTTAGTAACAACAGTAAATGTTAGTAAGCATCACCACAGCCAATTCTTGAACATTTTTCCCCAGCCTGGAATGCCCCTTCCTCTCATTTTCCCACCCTTTGGCAACCGCTGATCTGCTTCCCTCCTCTGTTGATTTGTCTTTTCTGGACATGAAAGACATCGACTACATTCCTTCTGTTTAGTCTTTATATCATACATATGGTATTGTAGTAATTTAAAACCTGTATGTAGGTTGGGCACAAGGGAGATTGTCCAACTGTTTGTCAAGGAAATGGTCCTTTGGGCGTGCTGCAGCTGGAGCAAAGGCCATCAGAGGGAAATGGGTCTGTCACCAACCTTCAATCAGCCCATACCCCCTGTGCTACGAGGCTCCTCCAAAGCCAGAGCATTCTGACTGGGGTTGGTGTCTTTGTTGAGGTCGCCCAAATTACAAGAGGGGATTGCTCCACTCTGTGTGGTCACACTTCCTGATTGTGTGAGTAATTTCTGTCCCTTTCCCCTCCCACAGGGACTTCCTTCCCCGCGGTTCAGGAATCGTTACCCGGCGGCCTCTCATTCTGCAACTCATCTTCTCAAAAACAGGTATGCTGGGGGCAGCTGGCAGTTGCAGCAGGACATGACCATGGACATGGTGGCCAGCAGGGCAAGGGGGCAAGTGGTGGAGTTAGGGGTCCTGGGCTGTCAGTGGGGTTTGAATTCACGTTTCTCTGTGTGTGGGGAAGTTGAAGAACAGTTCAGTGAACACCCACACACCCATCCTGAGTGTCCTCAACTGTGACTAGGCCACCAGGTGCCATATTTGCCTGCTTTGTTGTAGATAACAAGTTTGCTGAGTGCTTTCAAAAGCAGTAGCAGACAGGACACGTCAACCTGCAGTGCTCTGGTGCACCTCTCTTTGCATTAAGGACACTCTCCTACAGTCATAGAGCCACACCTAATAAAGTCATCATTCCTTCATGTCATCTAGTGCCCAGTCGATACTTAGATTGCCAGTCGTCCCCTAGCTATCTATCTTCCCCAGTGAATTTTATAGCTGCTCTGATCGGTCCCACTTGATGCTCTCTTGTCATCTCTCTTTTTTTCTCATTAGAGCAGCATCCCCACTATTTCTTTTTTAATCTTGACATTGATTTTTGGGAGACCCAGCCCATTGCATATAGAATGGCCCACATTAAAAAAAAAAAAAAAAAAAAAGAATGGCCCACATGTACATCTTCTGTCCTTCCCTCAGTGGCCTTGGTTTCCTTCTGTTCTTCTACACGCTCTGACATGACATGGGCCTGTCTCCCAACTTGAAATCCACTTGAACCTGGAAAGTATCGGGGGTCAGAATCTCCAAGGGGAAAGAGAAGCCATTGGTGGCAGGGCCTCTCTCCTCTCTAGAGCGCAGAGGGGTCTCCATCCTGCTTCCACATTGACCTGGACTCTGTCTGGACAGCAGACACACACTCCCATTTTACTGATAAGGAGAGTACGGCTTTAGCTAGGTTAACCCTCTTCCTCATCTGGCATCTGAGGTTAGGCCTCAGACAGAACTTTCAGCCCTAATCTTGCCTTCTAGTCCTTTTATCTTCTGGCTCTGCCCAACCCCAGGGGGCCTACCGGGGGAGTTGACTCCAGTGAGTGAGCAGCAGATTGGCCCAGTACTCACTTTGTGAGCTCTGACACATCAAAGGCTATGGGCCAGCCAATGGGCTGTGTTCAGATGTCTGATCAGCTGTACCAGGATGGGCACCTGTAGAGCTGGTGGTCAGATGTTAGCATGGTAGAGCTTGGCCCTGTAGGTTTCTCCTTCCCCTTGAGCAGGCTGGTGTGGCGGGAGTGAGAACCTATATTCTTAATGAGTTCCCAAGTGATGCTGATGCCACTCCACGAACTCTGCCCTGGTGGGTGGGAGTTGGGAGCCACACTGCCTGGGTTCGAATTCACAGCTTTACTGGCTCTCTGGCCCCTGGGGAGGACTGCTGCTCAGGCCCTGTTTCCTGTCTGGATAGGAATAATAGAGATAATTCTAGTACATCCTTTGTCGGTTGTCTTGCCATGAAAACCATGTTATTCAGTACACAGACAGCCCTCACGCCAGTGCCTGGCACAAACGAGGCCCTTGCTGAGTGGTGCTTTACAAACAGCTGTGGTTTTGTGCTTATTACTGGCCTGTTAGGGAATGGCTCGCTGGGAGAACATGTCATCTGACTTCCCAAACTGGCTGGTCATGGCTGTGTCATGGTGTCAGGGCTCCCCCATCACCTCCACAGGGGCCGACACCCAACAGTGGTCTATGGAGCACTTATTGTATCCTGCAGGGCTGCGTGTGACAGCGAATGGGACCAGGGCTACTATTCTCCATGCTCCCATTAGTTCTGGGTATGTGTGGGGGGGCAGTGGTGGGGAGACCAGGAGGGAGACAACAAAGTCCCACTTGAGGCCAGACACTCATCAGATGGGAGCATGTGGGATTAGGGGTTGGGGCCGACATAGGACTTCTCTGAGGATGTGATGTTTGAGCTGAGTTTGATGGTGTATCAGGGAAGGAAACTCCAGAAAGGTGGTGATATGAAGGCTGTGAGGAGGAGATGCCCAGAGGGCCCTTTGGAAGAACTGAAATTCCTCTGGGGGTGGGGAGGAGGGAAGAAGTACATGACAGTGGTGGCCTGGAGGGAGGTCCAAGGGCAGAAACTCTGAGGGTGCGCATCTGTCTAGGCCCTGGCTCAGGTAATACTGAAATCTTCATTCCTGTCATCCCTATTTACCAAGGAGGGAACTGAGCTTTTGGCACTGAAGCCACTTGTACATGGGAAGGTTGTCTTTAAAGCCCAGCCTGAACTCCCTCTTAGAGTGTGACCTTAGGGTCCAGCGTAGGGGTAGGAGGACTGGGTAGAAGCAGGAGCAGATGCTCGGGAACGGGTGGGGACAGGGGGCAGCCATGGAGATGGAGACATAGATCCTGTGGGAGTCGGGAGAGTGGTCCCACATGGATGTGATGTCGGCTATGTCCCATCTTGCACTCTTTCTTCCGCCCCCGAGCCGGCATTCCCAGCCCCCATCACCCCAGGTAGATGTCTGACTAGGTGACAGTCCGAGCACTCCAGAGGGTTGTAGCCTCCCTGAAGCTCAGTTGTGGAGGTGGCAGATACAGGGTCGCTACAGTGGGGCTGAGAAGGAAAAACAGGTGGCTTGGTGAGAGTCTATCAGGCATTGGATGTTGTTTGCTGGGTGCCAAAGGTGAACATTCTCAGTAGGGGAGCACATGTGCAAAGCTATGAGGTGAGGGGGTGCAGGGGCGGGTACACAGGCGTGGTAAGCGATTCAGGCAATGGGAACACATGGGGTGGGGAGAGACTGGCTCAGCCCGCTGGCTGCCTTGTGCTGGAGGCCTGGCCCAGGACAATGCTTGGGATCAAGGGAAGTCTAGAGGAACCTGGAGGTGGGAGTCAGTGCTAATCCCAACTGGGCCTCGGGGGGGCCACGACCTTGCAGAGTACCAGGCTGAGGAAGGTGTTAACCCACTGACAGGAGAGAAGGGGCTGAGTGCAGATTAGAACTTGGTGTTTTGCAGGCTCTAGAGGCTGCATTGCTCCTAGAGATTGAACTTTATTGTCCAGCTGACTCTTGGGGGCAGGACTCCACAGCCAGGCTGCCACTCCTTTAGGGCCAGTTCCTCAAGCAAGTGACCCTCCCTGTGCTTTGGGCCCCTCATATGTAAAGTGGGAGTAAAGTGGTGGCAACCATGTGCCTTCAGTGTGGGGTCTGAAGTCTCATGATGTGGCCCCACCCTCAGTCTGGGCTTTCTGACTCCTGTGATACCCAGTGGCACCCTGCTTCTCCTTAGTCTGGGCTGGTCTCATGAGCCAACACTTTTAATTGGCTTAGTTTAAAAATTACCTATGACCGTGGCCATCAGGAAGTGTGATGGCTCATGGTTACCCTGCTTCTTCTTAGGCACCACCCTCATGCTCATATACTTGGGGTGCTGGGGGCTGTTCCTGTGTGGAATGTGCATGGCTGGACTTCCTTGTTGATCTTCCTCTCCTGGCCTGGCCTTGTTCACAGGACCCAAAGAGGGGCTGACTAGCCTCTCGGTCTCCTTCTCGAAGGTTGGTGGTTCCAACAGGCCTTGTCAACCATGGGACTTCACCTCCTCCTGGTCCCCAGCTCATGATGGTCCTCCTCATCTTTAAGCCCAGCCTTGTGTCTCTGAGCCTTTTGCCCTGGCTGTGCTCCCTGCTGGAACAACCATTCCTGGTTGAACCCCCACCCCATCGCTGTGACTGCCACCTTAGTTCCTCTGTAGCCTGTGTTACATGAATCATTCTGTCACATTCTGTCTTTTTCTTAATGGTCTCCCCACCCCAAAAGTCAGTGCCACAAGGACACACACACTGATCTGCTTTGTCGGCCACATTTCCCAGTGTCCAACACAGGGCCTGATGCCTGGGCATGCTCCGAGGATGGCCTGTGCTCCATGCCTCCTGTGGAAGGTGGTCAGGGAGGTCAGTGACTGTTGGTGCAGCACTTTCCCTGGGAGCCCATCTGGGCAGAGCCCTTTCTATTAAGCTGATAGACTCCATAGCAGTCCGGGCTGGGCCTTGTTTCTCCCTAAGGAAACCAAGCTGGGGACTCATCAGGATGCCAATCTAGGCCTGCTGCTTCCAATGTGTGTGTATCCCTCCCCCGCCCCCATGCCACCAAGAAGTTCTCCAGTTCTCAGCAAACGCTGACCTGGTGTTCTACAATCAATTTGGTTCTGGTGCTTTCTACCTGGAGTTAGTGTCAGAGCCTGCAGGTGAAGGGATCAATTGCACAGTACTTCCCTACTTCAGGTCCGGGATGTAAGCCTTAGTTGTCACCTGTGCCGCTGACCACCAGCAACAGATCAGCGTTTCCCCCCTTCCCCCTCAGGTTGGGTTAATTTGCTCGAGAGGCTCATATAACTAAGAAAACATTTTACTCACCAGATCATCAGTTTGTTATAAAGGGTTATGACTGAGGAACAGATAGATGGAAACAATTTGTGGGGTGAGGCGTGGGGAGAAGGCGAGTTGCTTCCATCCTCTACAGCGCTCCCTATAAGCTCTCCATGTTAATGGGGAAGCTTTCTGCACCTTGTCCTTTTGGGTTTTTCTGGAGGTTTCATTAAACACGTGGTGGTGTTGATTTAATCATCGCCACCGAAGGTTGGGGGAAGGTCTGGTCTCCCCAGGCATCAGTCCCATCCTTAGGTGTGTCCTAAAGTCACCATAAGTGACCATAAGTCACCATAAGTGACTCCTAAAGTCACATGTCTGGGTGTGGGTGAAAGGGGCTTGTTATGAATATCAAGATTCCTTTATGCTCTTTTGATATAGGACATTCCAAGGGTTTTAGGGACTCTCTGCCAGAAACAGGACAAAGACCATAGATACATTTCTTTTTTTTTTTTTTTTAAGAGGCATGTATTTTTATTTATTTATTTGTTTGTTTGTTTGTACATGCACTGGGTACAGTCAGAAGCGCAGGAGGGTGAGAGAATTCACCAGAGTAAGAGCAGGGAGCAGAGCAGGCAGAAGGACCGAAGCACACTGCTGAGGGGAGCAGCGAGCGGCAGGAGAGGTCTGCGCGCCATGTGGGACCCTCCTCCGGTGGCCGGGGAGCAGCCGGGGATTGAACCGGCGCCGCAGAGGCCGCGGGCAGCTTCGCAACCCAGCGCCCAACCGCTGCGCCACAGGGGAGGCCCGATACATTTCTTCTTATGAATCACAGTATCACACCTCCCCAGTGTTGGGAGATGTCCACAACTTGCCTAAAATCAAAGGGAGCTTGAAGGCCAAATGAAGGCCACAGGTACCCCATGTCTTGCTTTCTTCTTGCTTGGCTGCAGGCTCTGAGAAGTCCCTTGTGAGCACATCCTTGACCAACAGGGTCTCCCAAGTGTGTTTGAGCCCAAACTCCTTTCTCCTGGGCTGTGTCCCAGGTCAGCATGCCTGTCAACACCAGGTTTGGGGAAGGCAGATTCCGTCTCCTGTTGCTGGGGCTCAGCCTGGTGGCTCTGGTCTTTGTTGATTTGAGATCGCGCCAGGCATGGGCTGCATCCACCAAGAGTCCAGGCAGAGCCCCTGTGTGCAGTGCACTAACACCCCCACCGCCACCCCCGGCAGCCTTGAAGGTTTCCCTGAGACTGACAGGTGAGTTGCTCGTGTTCCTCTGTGGGTTGAGTGCTGTGGCATTTGATTGCTTTCTCAAGTCCCATTGCATTGTGAGGAAACCGTGGCACCTGGAAGGACTGGAATGCCAAGGTGGACATGCCAGGCACTCCTACCGCCCTCTCTTCTTCCTGTCACCTCCCAAAATCACATGGTGCCTTTCCAGGCCTGAGGGGTTGGGCTCAAGGCATGTTGTCCTAGAAGAACCTGGGCATTTCACCATTCTCTTGAAATGCCAGTGGGCGTGTGCCCTGGGAGGGTGACTGATCACTCGTGTCACCCTGGCTGGTCACACATGGCTGACCCTCCTCGAGGGATGACAGTCTGACTTAGGCTATAGGACGGCAGTGGAGTGTCTTTATGGCTGGGGCTAGGGACTGGTGAAACTGGCTCTGTTATCTGTGCACACACAAGGCAGACAAGACTTGGAAATGCTACAACATGTAGGGTGAATCTTCCAGTGGGAAACCAGAGAAAAATACACTGGACAACATGGTAAACAGTGTTAGAAAGCTGGTCCTGTGTGGTGCACAGGTGTGTCATCTCAGGTGGATTCACAGAGATGGTGACAGCTGAAGGAGATGAGGAGCGAGTGCCTAGGGCGAGTGCCTAAGACCCCATGCAAAGGTCCTGAAGTAGGAGCAGACTTGCAGTATGAGAAATATGAGAAATACAGGAAGCCAGTGGCTGGAGGGGATTAAGCTGGAGCAGAAATTGAGGGAAGGAAATTTTGCAGGGCCTTGTGGTGTGTAGGGAAGACTTGGCTTTTATGTGACTAAGGTGGGAGCCGTGGAGGGTTTTGAGGAGAGGAGAGATAAGGTCTGGCCTTAGGAGGGTAGAAAGCAGGCCTATAGTTGTGAAGTGACATGGAGCCCAGTAAAGAAAGCAGGTGGTGAGGGGTAGGCTTCGCTGGCTCCCTGGCGGCACAGAGGGTTTCATTTCTGCTGCCCACTGACCGGCTGGGGAAAAAGTGATGACTTTCTGGCAAAGTGATGTCTCCTGCACATCCTTCACCCATGAATGGGCTGTCAGAAGGGGAGATGGCCAGTGCCCACTGTACTTGGGGTGGGAGGGACATAGCCGGCAGATCCTATTCCCATAAACATGACCCAGAGTGACCTGACTCTGACAGGGGAAAAGGCCCAAGATGTAAGAAGGGTGCCAGGTAGCATGGAGTCAGGGAAGGCTCTTTGGAAGGGGTAGTAGGCATAGATACCCTAGAGGAGGAGGTGTGGCTGGGCCTGTCAGGCACCAGGCCTGGCAGGACAGAGGTCTTCAGGGGAGAGGGCCTATGTCCTGGCCCCAGCTCCAGTCCCCTTCTTGCATTCTTGGAAGGGGGATGGTCTCTTGCTGGTGCTGAGCCTGGAGCCTTGAGCTGGAAGAGAACTGAGAGCTGCTGTGGGAGTTGGGGGATTGTTCCATTTTTGGTAGCTGCTGCTGGAAAAAGAGTATTTCTGCATGTTCCTGTGGAAGACTGGAGCTTGACTTTCTTTGGGATGATGAGGGTAATGGGATGGTAATGATAGTGATCTTGAATCTTCCAGCCCATGTCCTCTTTGCCTCTACTCTCAATGGCCAGTACTCATGGCCAGACCTGAATCTCTGTGATCTAAGCCCATAGAGATCCTTGACCCCTGCAGCAGAGGTTGAGAGAGGTGCAGAGCCTGTGGTGGCCTCAAAAAGTCCATGTGGCTTGAGAGCCACCAACTGGAGCAAGTTTTCTGAACTCCAGATATCAGCTCTACTGCTGAACTTGGGCCAAGCCACTTCACCTCTCTGAACTCAGTTTCCTCCTCTGTCTTACAGACATCTTGAAGATGTTTACCTGCTAAGGTGCTGCCTTGTGAGGAGCAAATAGGACTGTAAACTCGGGGTCAGTGAGCAAGGGCTGCATGTTGGCTATTTTATCGGGTTAAAGAGATGGGCTGGCAAACCCTGTGGATAAAGATTCTAGACCAGCCTGGATTTTTTGTTTCAGATTACACCTTTTCTTTTGAGGCAGCTGGTAATGGGTCTTTGCTGTGATTTTTTTTTATTTTTTAGCCAGGTCTCCTGGTGGACATCATAACTGTTTCTAGTTTTTGACTCTTAGAAATAGCACCTTTGCATCTCTGTAGGTCAGTTCTTTGCCAGCCTGACTTACTTCCCTCTTCTGTTTAGCATCGTTCCAGGAGCTTTGATCGCTGAGCCTGGAAGGTCCCCCGTCCCCAAGATTTACCATGGAATTTCAAACATATGGAAATGATGAGGAATTGTACAGAGTATGCTTGTTGGTCTCAGTACTTCAGTCCCTCCTTCCATGACCATTTTGTATTCTTGCTTTACTCTGACTCTGTGCTTTGGATTTCTTTGTAAGCATCACTGCATTAGTTACTTCCTTGTTTCCTTTGCCCCTATGTCATACCACTTCCAGACAATGTGGCTCAGGAGGTGTGCCCCTTATATTCACTCAACGCACTGCCCAGAAACATTTTTCCTGAGGGGTTCATGTCAAGGTGGTTCCCCTTGAAACTCAGGAGGGAGATGGGCACTAAGACAAGCTTTGGGGAAGCCAGCAGTGGTGTCCTAGCCAGTCTTAGCCAGACCTTGTGAGCATCTGGGGGAAGGACAAGGGAGTCTGTAGCGGCAGGAAGGGCCACTGAGCAGGTTTCCTATGAATCGAGCAGATCAGAGGGGTAAAGGAGAGTCCTGGAGCTCTCAGTGGCTTTCTCAGGCTTTTATTGAGCTTTTACATCTAGTGTAGCAACCACGTACATGGCAAGCAGGGGTGCCCCGGGGCCAGGAGGCTAGTAGGCCTCCTAGTCCCGAGCATGTCTTCACTCTAGGTTTCTTTCTGGCTTTCTTTCTCCCTTTCTCTCTCTTGCCTCTCTCCTGCCTCAGCTTCTCTTGGCAAGTATCTCAATTCTACAGTGATGGCCCACAAGAGTAAACAACATAACAAAATATAACAATGTAACAAAATGTACCATGCCCCATCAGAAAGGGCAGTCCTAATGGCTGAGGGCAGACAAGCCTGAAAATCATTTACCCTACAGAGTTCCACAGATGTGGAGCCAGGATCCCTCCTGGCTGGAAAGTGCTGGTAGCTCATGGTCCTCTCAGGATAGCTGCTGAAACCCATAGTGAGGGAGGGCCTGCATCATGATGCCGGACTCCTCTCCTATGTAATAGCAAAGCAAAAGCTTCATCAAATGTAATTATCCTTTGTCTGATTGATTTGTGCTGATATTTCCTCTTATAGTTATCAAAACAGTAAATGCTGGTGTTATTCACCTGCTGAATTTTCTTTTTTAATATTCACAGTATGTTACAATGTTTAATTTTGCAAACTGCTACAGGAGAACTCCAGTTCCTCAGGAATAGGATCTTTGCCAGTTTTGTTCCATGTGGAATCCACAGGTCTGAAAAGACCTTGGTCTTGGTCTATAGGAGTACTCCCTCAAATATTTGTCACAAGAATGATTCTGTTGCTCCCGAATTCGTAGAGCAACTGTGGCAGATCTTATACTTTCTCTGCTATCCCAGAAGGCCATCTGCTCCCCAGCCACAAGATTGCTTCTCTTTCTCATTTTGTGTCTCTTTCTTCCCTTTTCAGAATATGCCGAGTTTTTGCACCTCAAGTCCAAAAAGTTTACAGACTTTGATGAAGTCCGACAAGAGATTGAAAATGAGACCGAAAGGGTCACTGGGTCCAACAAAGGCATCTCCCCAGTGCCCATCAACCTGCGTGTCTACTCACCACACGGTAGGCCTCATGAGGGCAGAGGAAAGCTGATGCTGTGGTCATCACAGTCTCAGAGATTATGTCCCCTCCCATTTTTATTCATATACACATAGCCCTTTTGATCTGTGTCTTCCCACTTTTAATAGGAATGTGGCACCAAAACATGAATCTCAATTCTAAGAAAAACATAGCATGCTGGGAAGATTATAAGCAATAGTGGGAACCGGGCAAATTGCTACTGTATGCCTTGTAAAAAATAGGAGCTGCTGTTTGGCTCCCAGGTGATCTGTGGCCAGAATGACACCAGCCCAAAGCAGCCAACCAGGTCTTCCAGTTCCTTGAGAGGAACCAGAAAACCAATTTCTCAGCAAAATACCCTGAATTTAAAATTGCATCATTTAAATAGAAAAGCTTGCAGCTCAGAGGCATGTATAGCTTAAGTCTTCAATGTGGGTTGTTGTTTTTTAAAAAATATTTATTTGTTTGTTTGTTTGTTTGTTTGTTTATACAAGAACCAAGGTACAGGCCAGATGTGTGGGAGAGTGAGAGGATCCACTAAGACAGAGTGGAGAACAGAATAGGCAGACTGACTGAAATACACTGCTGAGGGGACCAGCAGGCGAGACAGGAGAGGTCTGCTCACCATGTGGGTATCTCTATGGCCAGCAGGGATCGAACCAGCACTAGAGGCTGTGGACAGCTTTACAGTACTGCACTCAAATGCCTGCGCCACCAGGGAGGCCCCAATATGGGTTTTTTTACTGAGTTTTAAAATTTAATATTTTAAGTTTGATTTATTTATTTATGCATACTAGAACTGGGATACAGGCCAGCGGTATGGGGGATGAGAGGATTCACCGGAGACAGAATGGGGAACAGAACAGGCAGACTGACTGAAATGCAGTACTGAGGGGAGCAGCGGGCGAAACAGGAGAGGTCTGCTGTGCCATGGGGGCAGCTCCCTGACTGGGGATTGAACTCATGCTGCAGTGGCTACTGATAGCTTCATAGGTTGCATCTTAACCCCTTGTGCCACCAGGGAGGCCCCAAAATTTATTTTTATAAAAATGAAATCTTAGCAAAAACTCATCTCACACCCCAATATTGCAAATATATTTCACATTCCTTTAATGATAAGTAATATGCATAAACAGGGCTTCCCTGGCGGCGCAAGGGGTTAAGATGCAACCAATGAAGCTATCCGTAGCCACTGCAGCACGAGTTCTGTAGCATGAGTTCCATCCCTGGCCAGGGAGCTACCCACATGGCACAGCAGACCTCTTCTGTCTTGCCTGCTGTTCCCCTCAGCAGTGTATTTCAGTCCCTCTGCCTGTTCTGTTACCCACTCTGTCTCCGGCGAATCCTCTTGCCCCCCCATACCTCTGGCCTGTACCCCAGTTCTTGTATGTATAAATAAATCTTTAAAAAAAATGTGTAAACCTTTATAAGTGTATACATGTTTCACCACTTTCAAATGGTAGCAAATATGTGTGTTTCTTATCAGCCTATCTTTTGCTTTTATTGATTGCTTGGTATTTGTGGAATCATTGAGTTAAGATTTATTTAGCTATTTAAAGTGATTCCAGGGCCTCCCCAGTGGCGCAGCGGTTGAGCGCTGGGTTGCGAAGCCGCCCGCGGCCTCTGCAGCACCGGTTCGATCCCCGGCTGCTCCCCGGCCACCGGAGGAGGGTCCCACAGGGTACGCAGACCTCTCCTGCCGCCCGCTGCTCCCCTCAGCAGTGTACTTTGGTCCTTCTGCCTGCTCTGTTCCCCGCTCTGGCTCTGGTGAATTCTCTCACCCTCCTGCGCTTCTGACTGTACCCAGTGCTTGTATAAATAAATAAATAAATCTTAAAAAAAAAAAGATTTCAGAACCTGGGTTTTTAAAAAAAATAAATAAAGTGATTCCAGTCTACAAATGCAGACATCACTGAAATGGAGTGCATAGAGAATACCTATAGAATTGGGATCCTAGAAAGGGAGTTACTGGATCAAAAGGTGTGACCCTGGGCTTCCCTGGTGGCTCAAGGGTTAAAGTCTTAAACTATCACCAGCAACTGCAGCATGAGTTCGATCCCCAGCCAAGGAGCTAACCCACATGGTGCAGCAGACCTCTCCTGTCTCTCCCGCTGCTCCCTCAGCAGTGTATTTCAATAGATCTGCCTGTTCTGCTGCCCACTGTCTCTGGTAGATCGTCTCACCTCCTGCACCTCTGGCATACACCCCAGTTCTTGTATGCATAAATACATAAAATAAATCTTTTTTAAAAAGAGTGGGGCCTCCCCTGGTGGCACAGCGGTTGAGCGCTGGGCTGTGAAGCTGCCCACAGCCTCTGCAGCGCCAGTTCAATCCCCGGCCGCCAGGCTAGGGTCCCACATGGTGTGCAGACCTCTCCTGCTGCGCCTGCTGCTCCCCTCACCAGTGTATATCGTCAGTCTGTCAGTTTTGCTCCCTGCTCTGGCTCTGGTGAATTCACTCACCCTCCCGCGCTTCTGACTGTACCCAGTGCTTGTATAAATAAATAAATAAATCTTTGAAAAATAAAAAATAAAAAGTGTGACCCCGGGGAGCAAAAAAACCCCAAGACCTAACTCCCTGGCACTTGGGGAAGTGAGCTGTGTTGCTACAGGGCTTGCATACCTCACCTTCCCTGGGTTTCCCTCTGATTTCTTTCCCAGTGCTGAACCTGACCCTCATCGACCTCCCGGGCATAACTAAGGTGCCTGTGGGGGACCAGCCCCCAGACATTGAGTACCAGGTCAGGGAAATGATCCTGCAGTTCATCAGCCGTGAGAGCACCCTCATCCTCGCTGTTACTCCTGCCAATATGGACCTGGCCAACTCGGATGCCCTCAAGCTAGCCAAGGAGGTCGACCCCCAAGGTAACCCTTGAACCCCACAGTGGCATTTCCTTCTTCCCTGTGTCTTGGAGCATTGTGACTTCCTAGTAACCTTGATTCTAAGTCACCGGTGTTCTGACATGACTATCAAGAAAAGGCCACTGGGACACAGAATTTCCCAACAGGGCCAATAATGCAAACGGATGTTGACCCTGAAGGGCATTGTATGACAGGCAGGTAGACATTCTTCCTTGGTCATCATGGCCCCCACTTTGCCTGTGTAGGAAGCTAGATTAGGGGATGTGATTTGCCAGGCTTCCCGGGGCCCAGATGGGGTCCAAATCCACCTCTAGAAGTTACTTACCCTTCCTGAGGCTTGATCCCCCTCTGTCAGAATGGGAGTGGCAGTTCCAATCTATGGAACTATTGAGTATGCTGGAGATGTCTCTATAACTGCCAGGCAGGAAAGGTAAAAGAGTAAGGAGTTAATGAAGTAAGTTGGGGGCAATAGATAATAGTGGGAACTGTGGCACCCTGGCTCACAGCACGCAGAGGCAAACTTTTCCAGTGAAATGCATTCTGTGAATGTCAGTTAAGTACCTACTGCATGCCTGGTAGAGTTTTGGCCTTGGGAACCCTGAAAGGTCCAAAATTGAGGGAGGGCCCTAGCACTGGAGAGCTGAATCTCCAGTGGGAGAAATAAGCAAGTAGGATCATCTGAGGGGTGGTAAGCACTAGGAAGGTGATAGAATCCTTTGATGGTGACTTTGGGGCGGCGGGGAGAGGGGGGATCTGTGGCCTCTGAAAATGTGAAGTCTTTTACAAGACCAGAATGACAAAAAGGCAAAATCCGGCAGGATGGACCCTGGATGTTAAATATCCTGAGTGGCTGGAACAGAATGAGCTAAAGGGAGGGCAGAGGAACTGAGGGCTGGAGGGAGCAGGGGAGGTGGTAGGTGATCCCAGGGCCAACTGAGCAGGGCCTTATGGACTACTGGGGACCAGGGTATAATTTTGAGAGTGTTGGGGTTTTAGCAGAGTGTGCCATACTGAAGTGCATTTGCAATTCCCCTTGACTACCTGGATTTCATAGTGATTTGGAGGGCGTCAGGCACAGTGAGGAACGGGATGAGACAAGCTCTGTGGCTCATGCTCCCTGGGTTTCTAAAGGCCTGTGCCTGCCCTGGACGTCAAGCTGCTCAAAATCCAGGGCTGTGCGCTGAGCATCTTTGCCCCTTGGTAGACAGGCTGTACCACATCCCAGTATATTCCAGTTGCACTTTCCCAGGTGTGTGTCCCTTTTTGCCCCTGTTCTGCTTACAGTCCCCCACAGCCTCCCCACCGCCTCAGTCACATCCCACAAAATGGGGTGTGACTATGACAGAGACACTGCAGAGGCTTGATTGGACTGAATATAGTTAAGCCCCATTTGGTGCCAGTGTGCTTCCTTAAAAAGTGTTTTTCTGGGCCTCTCTGGTGGCGCAGGTGGTTGAGTGCAGTGCTGTGAAGCTGTTCGCAGTCTCTGCAGTGCCAGTTTGATCCCCGCCAGCCTCGGAGCAAGCCACATGGCGCAGCAGACCTCTCCTGTCGTGCCCACTGCTTCCCACAGCAGTGTATTTCGTCAGTCTGCCTGTTCTGTTCCCCATTCTGTCTCTGGTGAATCCTCTCACCCTCCTGCACATCTGACCTGTACCCCGTTCTTGCATAAATAAAAAAAATCTTTAAAAAAAAAAAGGCAGAAAGTGTTTTTCTGCCTTTGAAGGTAATCATGATTACCCCAAATATGTCACCATTGTAAAATATTTCTACAAACCTAGAAAGTGACAGCTCCCCTTCCTCTGCAGACATACTGGTGGCGATATGTGGCAAATATTCTTTTAAATTTGTTCTTCCATGTAAACTCACCTTTTCCAAAATGGAACAATCTTATTTGCCTGAATATGTGTGTGATTTCCTATTATGTGTACACACATTGCTATCCTCTAGGCCAGCCCATGGGATATTTGGGTTATTCCTGGTCTTTTGTAAGCAATGCTCTGGTGAGATCTGACCTTTCCAATAGAGTTGATACCCCCAGGAACCCTCCCTATCACATTCCTCTACCTTGCTCTGCCTTTGCCCTCCAAAAAGGTGCCAGCTCTTTGGACCTCCCTGGTGGCACAAGGGTTTAAGCACAGCATTGTGAAGCTATCTGTAGCCTCTGCAGCAGGAGTTCGATCCCCAGTCAGCCAGGGAGCTATCCACATGGCACAGCAGACCTCTCCTGTTTCACCCGCTGCTCCCCTCAGCAGTGTATTAATCAGTCTGCCTGTTCTGTTTCCCACTCTGTCTCTGGTGAATCCTCTCACCCCTGCACCTCTGGCCTGTACCCCAGCTCTTGTATGCATAAATAAATAAGTCTTAAAAAAAAAGTACAAAAAGTTGCCATCTCACAATCACAGCAGATACGAGTAGGCAAGGGCCCCAGGGAAGTCCTGCTGTCACCCCTTGGTTGGCCACCTTAGCACCCACCATCATCTTTCAGTGCTCCCATCTGTTCTCTCTCTCCTTTCTCTCTCTCACACACACACCATTCCCCACCCCACACCACAGAGGCAGCCCTTGGATACCGATGCGGGTGTGAGTCTTTGCTAGTAGGGCTTCCTTGATTCTGGACAACCTGAGGAGAGGAGGAATTTTGCGGATTCTATAGGGTGGTTCTATGGTAGAATCTTAGCATTTTAGGTGAAAGGTAACCCCAGAAACAGTTGCTGAGAATTCCAACAGTTGCTGTTGGAACTTTGTGTGAAACTCAGAATATAAAACATCGAGTTTTCATGAGGTTTTCCCCTACTGCTTCTATAATAAAATGCCATCGCTGAATACCAGTGGCAATGATGTGCTGTGGCCAACATTTACTGATTGAGCATTTGCCGTGAGCCTGTTCATCCTCCGAGACAGCCCCCCTGAGATTAATGCTGTTATGGTTTTCATTTTACTATAGGGAAACTAAGGTCAAGCAGGTGATGATAGGACTTGTCCCAGGTCACGAAGCCTGGAAGTGGGTGACCCACTGCTAGCTCTTGCTCCTGCCTTGTGGTACTCTCTGATCTCTGGACTCTTTCAGGCCTGCGGACCATTGGCGTCATCACCAAGCTTGATCTGATGGATGAAGGCACTGATGCCAGGGACGTCCTGGAGAATAAGTTGCTCCCTTTGAGAAGAGGTGTGGCCGGTGGGGGTCCTGGGGTTGGGTGGGGGTAAGGATGATGGGTGGGGTTGAGCAGCAGGAGGGCTGCTGCTCTCTACTTTTTAAAATGATGTTTGTTTTTGTTGTCATGAAAACCTTGGCAGATATCCGGAGGTCTGCTGAGATCCAGTCACCTCACTATTTCCTTCCCCACATCCAGAATCACTGCTTTTCAGTTTCATTGTAAATTCTTCTTTAACTTTTTTTTAGTGTGACTTTAGGGTCTTTTTTCTGATTTGTATACATTTTCCATTTCACAGTAAACACCTCGTTTGTGGATCTTTCCCAAAACATATGGAAGGAAGACACTAAAATCACTTACAGCTTGACTTCCCCCAGTAGCTCCTAGTTAACACTTGGTGAATCTCATTCTGAAAAGTTCAAGATTTGTAACTTTCATACTTTGTATAATGTGACATTCTTGAAAGTAGGGAGAAGTATAAGGAGTTCCCTGAACCCAGCCTCAGTGGTTAGCAGTGTGTAGCAAATCTCCGTTCCCTCGTGTCCGCTCTTCCTGTTATTTTCTTCCTAGGGCAAGAAATGCTAGGCCTCATACTCTTTCCCACAGGAATACCTAAATTTCTTTTTAAAACATTTCTTTCCCATCCCCTTTGTTTTTTTTCTGTACCATTTGTTTGTAGAAGAGATCAGACACACGCCATTCCCCACCCCAGATCACACACCACATACGTGGGATTTAATGACCCATCAGTCCCTGTAAACTGGTAACTAGTAGACTGAGGCATGATTCGGTTCAGTTTAGAGATTCTGATATGGGAATAGCCTAAGTAATTAAAAAATGAGACTTGCAAGCATTTGTTGTCTCTGTGTACCAGGTACTGTTGTAAGCGCCTGATGTGTGAGAATCCATTTAATGCTGATAACCAATCTAGGGCGATGGCTCTGTTCTCGTTGCCATTTTGTGGATGAAGAAACAGGTGCAACAAGGCTAACTCCTTGCCCTGGTTCCCAAAACAAGGAAGTGAGATGTGGTCTTTCACACCTGCTCTCCTGTAGCATGCTGCCATGTGACCTGCTCTTCCACGTCACTTAGCAGAAGAGCAGAACATTCCCGTGTCACATATTCTTTTTTTTCAAATCATACTATTTTTTGAGGTAACGTTGGTTATACAAATATTCTTTAGGATGGCTTCCCGCGGTCCCGTGGCATTCCTTATGTAGGCGTGTGTAAGCTGCCGGTTGCATGCTTAGCTTGTTTCCTATTTTTCACTGTGGTGGTGTTGGATATTTGTCCTTTAGCCCATTGCTTTCTTCATTGCTTCTCTTTCCTTTCCCATTTCTTCCCTAGGATTACCGCTCAGCTGTGGGCACTTCAGGCCATCATCCTTACTAGCACCATTCAAGTCATTTCTTTTGCTCCTGGGGTCCCCTCCTCTCATTGTCTGGGATAGGAGTGGGGAAAGCATTTAGACCTTGGTTACCACTAGTGCTGCTGAGACGTTGAATCATGAGAGATGGCTCTTATTGTTATAGGACAGGGAGAGGGGCAGCCCAAACCCCGCAAACCTGCCTATTCTAAATGGGTTCTGCCATCTGCCGCATCAACAGAAAACATAGGAGACTTTAAGGGGAAGGAACTTTAATAAAACTAGGAAACAATACAGGAAAGGCAAAGAGTCTAGTTTCTAAATGAAGCACCCAAAGTTACCCGTCCCCTCGTGGGTAAAAGTCCATCCATATGGGATTGGCCCAGAGCAAGGCCCCAAAGCCTGCCACAAGTCTAAAGCATCTTCCAGTGGGGACCCACAGCAAAGGGTCAGAAATAACCAGACAAGCCCGGAAGGAAAAGAGCAAAATCAACATCAAGATAAAAGCTGCCATTGTCACCTCCCCATGGGTCTCACCCACATCTGTGTCACCCGGTTCACGACCAAAAGACAAGCGCAGTTTCTTCACGTGTCTCTAGGCTCCATGCGCCTCCTCCAGGTCTCCTTTTGGCTCCATCCTGCTTCCTTCCTCAGTCTCTTCTGCAGCTTCTCCTCTTCCTACTCAGCTCCACCCTCCCTTGGGTGGGGCAGGGAACCTCCCCCTTTCTTGGGGACCACCCTGTTACAATCCCCCCTTTTAATTTTTATTCCACCATATCTATGGTGGCACAGATCTTATGGTGTAATCTTAGGAGACAGTCTTTAATGCGTCCTACCCGATCCGACGACCTGGAAACCCAAAGTCACTCTCAGAGCTGGCCGGACGCTGCGAGCTGGTGGAGAGCCAAAATGGGGGACCCCTCCAAAGCCCACGTGTCTGGCTTTATACCACACCTGGCTGCTTAACCCCACCCTCAGGTCCCAGCCACCTTCCCTTTGGTGGTGATGGGATTGGGAGTTCCCAGTGTCTTCGGCTTTGACCTGGGGTGGGGGTGGAGTCCACAAAGCCTATATGGAATTTGCTTTGGGACATCCTTTTCCCCTAACATTATCAAGACAGAGCAGGGTCAGGACAAAACCCAAAAACCCATTTGGCTGAGGGGACCGAAGATTCTTGTCAAAGATTTAAGAAGGAGGGAGCAGATCCTTTAGCTACCCCAACCCTGTGCTCCCTCGAATACCACATCTTGGGCCACCATCTTCAACCCTAAGGCATTCTGACTGGGATCAGCATTAACCCCAAGTGGTCGAATGATCAGGACCGCTTCAGCTCTCTTCCTCCCTGCTCAGTGATATCCAAATCTGCCCACTCTGGCCTTGCTCTCTGTTTTTGAGAAAGTCCCTCTTCCTCACTTGTAGCTAATTGCCTCTCATGACCTCAGGCTTTTTCTCCCTCATCTCTCCTGTCACCTGTGTGACCTTCAGAATCATTTCACAGGGCTTCCTTTCTCTTGACTTATGAAAGACTCAGAACTACTGCACCTTCCAAGAAACCAAGCCCCATGCCTCTCCCTCCCCCTGCTGTTTCCTTTCCTTAGTCTGATAGTAGCCACAGTGAACTTGGGCTTCCTGTGGATCTGAGGTCAGATCTTGGTTTTCCTTCTGATCCTTTCTGTGAACTTGGCACGCCTCTCTGTGAATCTATGGCCTCACCTTGGCATGCCTTTGTTCCCCCATCTGTAAAATGGATCTGCTAACAGATATGGAGAGCATGGCAGGCAGTCAGGTCTGCATAAGACTGGAGTTGTCACGTCCATTCCCCAAGAGAAGTGTTGAATAACTCCCCTTATACCACACTATGTACAGTCTCTCCTTCCTCCAGTTAAGGTTGCTTTTCAAGACTATACTCGAGTATTTGCGATATGTCTGAGTAATGGGTTTGGCTCATGACCCAGTCCTGTAAGATGGGATCCAGGTCCATGCTTGTATCTTGGCTCATTTGGCGCTGCCCCCACCCTGACCCTCTCTCCCTGCAGGCTACATTGGTGTGGTGAACCGCAGCCAGAAGGACATTGAAGGCAAGAAGGACATCCGTGCAGCACTGGCGGCCGAGAGGAAGTTTTTCCTCTCCCATCCAGCCTACCGGCACATAGCTGATCGCATGGGTACGCCACTCCTGCAGAAGACTCTGAATCAGGTAGGTGTGGATTTTGAGCAGTTGGCTCAGGCTGTGCACTGCACAAAACTGCAATTCACAGTGGCTTGGTCTAGAGCAGCATTTATTTTAGCAAAATGATTCAATCTACCTTTGATTCAAGGCCTGGTGAAGAGTGGGTGTTTAGTAAGCCACACTGCCAATACTACTGTTTCCATCACTATATTACTACTGTTTAAATTGCCATTGTAATTTTGCATATGAAAAGTTTGCATATGGCTCCTGATGTTGGTGACCTGGGTTACAGAAACCTGGATGATGGCTGCTGTAGCCAACAGCACCAGACAGTAGCTAAATAGGAGGACTTTGGATCCAAAGTCCATCCTGACCTCTGACTGGGTAGCCTCAGGGTAGGGTCCCAGCCCCTCCTAATCTCTTTACCTTTGTCATTGGAATGTTCTCCACCTCCCCCCCCCCCCCCCACTGCTAAGTGCTTAGCAGCTACCCAGTGGGGAATTCCACACTTATCAAATCGCAGCAGCTCTCTGTTGCTCTTTTTTAGGTAATATATTCCTAGCACTCATAAGCAAAACTAGTGCAGACCTGCATCTCTGAACATGGGTCAGAAGACACTGTGTATCCCTTAGTGGTCCCAACTGGTTCTCACTCCAGCCTGGGGGCGCAGTTGGCTCCATCATCTTGGTTTGTGTAATGACACTCTGCAGAGTTTGTACAACCGTGAAATTGCCTAACAGTGCATTTCTTAGACCATATCTTGTCTTTAAGTGATACATGACTGGATTAGAAAGTGTACTGTGAATCATCCTTCTCTGCCTTCCCACCCACAGGGCCCTACTGTTAGTACTTCCTGAGTTTCTTTTTGTCCATAAAAGCAAAAGGGAACTTGACGAATCATTTCTCCCTTTCCTTCAATGGATAATGGCATAGTCAAGGATGTCTTTTTTTTGTTTTTTTCCTCTCAGTACCATCTCTGGGGTCTCAGTCCATGTGCAGAAGAGCCCTTCCTTATTCTCTCTCATGGCTGCATAATAGTTTCAAACACAAGGACCGTGGTCGGTTGAACCAGTCTCTTGGTGAAAGACCCTTGGGATGGTTTTTCATTCTCCTAGTCAATAAAAGGCAGCAGCTTATAATATCACTTTGATTATGGGCCAGTTTGGTAGGGAGTAAAATTCATGATGTGGGATTATGTGGCCCACACCTGGGCAGGCAGTGCTCGCCCTTAGTTATTGTCCTGGTTTGTCCAACCCAGGTGAGTAAGACATTCACCCTGGATACTCAATGGCAGCTTCCCAAATGGTAGCAGGACCCAAGGAGTGCTGTTCCTTCATGCAGATAATGTGGCTAAGAGAGCCAGGCCCTGTCCTGAGGGATGGTATATTTCTAATGGGGGGACAGGAGCAGAATTAGTCACCTGATAATATGCATGATCAAGTGTGAGGTAGTGATGGGACTAGGAAGAAGCCCCAGAGAAGGAAGCCAGAGAAGGCAGCTCATGAGAGCAAAAAGGGAAGTGAGTGTGTGGTGGGAGGGCCCCTCCAGGACCGGAAGTGGTGTCTGCCTGGGCGGGAGGGCATAGGGGGAGAAAGGGAAATAAAACTCCCCACAGGGCCTCCCTGGTGGCACAAGGGGTTAGGCACCGCACTATGAAGCAATCCACAGCCTTTGCAGCATGAGTTCGATCTCCGGGCAGGGAGCAGTCCACATGGTGCAGCAGACCTCTGACTCACCCGCTGCTCCCCTCAGCAGTGTATTTCAGTCAGTGTGCCTGTTCTGCTCCCCACTCTGTCTCTAGTGAATCCTCTCACCCCCTGCATCTCTGGCCTGTACCCCAGCTCTTGTATGCATAAATAAATCTTAAAAAAAAAAAACTCCCCACAAATGGGCAAATGGGGAGTTGCCTTCTCTGAGAGCCAGCAGCTCCTCTTGGGCAACTGGCTGCATATCTGGGTGCCTTATAAAGTGGTGGAGTACCCTGTTTCCCCTCCCTTTTTCTTATGAGCTTAATGGGATTGGTGGGATGTCTAAGACAGTGTAAGACAGTGTAAGATTGGTGGGATGTCTAAGACAGCCGTGGTCTGCAGCATGTGTAACATAGCCCTCCCCCCTCCCCCAACTCCCATGGAGGTGGGGAATGTGTGGGCTGAGATTGTCTGGGGGCAGAGCCCTTTCACAAAGGTTTTTAGGGTGATAGATTGTTAAAGAGTAGGAAGCTCCTACATATCTTTGTTCAGTTTGGCAGATACTTTACAACTTGTTTTCTATTTTAGAACAGATGGCAACAAAATGCCACTTTTCACTTTTGAGTTTTAGCTGACTGAATGGCTTTTATTTTGGTTTCTCTCCTGTATCTATAGTTTGTAATAGTAAAAAAAAAAAAAAAAAAAGTCACCCAGCCCCAAGCTAGTGAAATGTCCAATTTCTTGAACCATCCCCTAACTGGCCCCTATCCCAGAGGCAGCCATCTCATCCCTTCCGGGGCTTCCCTCTGGAGAGATTTTCAGGCCTGGAGAGACTGGTAGCATCTGTACTGCCCTTCTTACTCCTTTATTTTCTCCATGTCCCAGCCTGAGCAGTAATATTTCACACATTGTTCTGTATCTAGCATTTCCTCTAACCCACCATGAGCTCATTCTGTAACCTTTTCTGCAGTGCTTCCTCCTTGTAAATTTGCAAATAATTAACAAATCCACATGGTCCCAAAGTAGAATGAGAAGAAAAAGGGGCCACAGTAAGAGGCCTCCTGCCTGTCTGCTCCTTTCTTCCTTTTTCAACATTGTTTCTTACCAGTCTTCCTTGTTGCTATTCCTGCTAGTGAAAATGTATCCTTCCTCCCTCCTTTTCACAGAGGGAGCAAAACTTATGTATGTGTATTCTATGCATCCCCCCTTCCCACGCACCCCCCCCTCCAAACCCCCCCCCCACACTGCCCTCTGACCTCTGTTCTCTCTCCTATAGCAACTGACCAACCACATCCGGGAGTCACTGCCAGCCCTGCGCTGCAAGCTACAGAGCCAGCTACTGTCTCTAGAGAAGGAAGTGGAGGAGTATAAGAACTTCCGGCCCGATGACCCCACGCGCAAAACCAAAGCCCTGCTTCAGTACGTGTCATCCCCGCCAACCCACCACAACTTGGTACACCAGGGCCTCCACAGCCACAGGGTCCCGATCCTCATTCACTCATCTACAAACAGTTGTCCAGAACCCTGTGTGCTAGTTAGGCCCTTTCCTGAGCCCTGGGGTTGCTGCAGTGAACAGGACAGAGTCCAATGTGCTCAGAAAGTGGAACTGGATGGGACAGAAAATAATAATAAAATGTACAGTGTGTTAAATAATGAAATCTGAAAGTGGGAAACTAAGGAGTCCTGGTGTGGATGTGGGGGTGCCATTTTTAAGGAGTGTTCAGGAAGCCTACCTGAGACATGAGAATCAGGCAAATATGAGGAAGGGGTCCTTTCAGATATGGAGTGTGGGGCTTAGGCAGTGCAGAGGTCCCAAGGAAAGCCTGCACCTAGCATGTTGGAAAAGTCCACGTGGCTGGAGTACCATGAATGAGGGGGAGTTGGAAAGGGGTGAGGGCAGACATGAGGGGATGGGGCAGAGCAGTTAGGACCTGTGTCCTCCAGGAGGACTTTGGTTTTGCTGAGTTGGAGTTCTTGCCAGAGGGGGGATGTGGCCTCTCTCCGTTGCTCACAGCACCCTCTGGCTGCTCCAGGAAGAATAGACTTAAGAATAGTCTAAGAATAGACTTAGAGCCCAGCTTCTGCTCCACTGCTTGGAATCCCTCCTCTGACTTTGAGGCTGTGCTCCTCTCTTGCTGTTACAGCCCATACCTTTGAGGGACTTGATACAGCCTCTGTACTGAAAGATGGAGGAGCCTGCATGCCAGGAATCCCGGGTTCTCTTGCTCAGGGCCCTTCTGGCCTCTGTATTCACTTTCTTAACTGCAAGGGACCCTGGGGCACTCAAAGGGCTTGGTTAGAGGGGATTTGGAAACTCCCTTCAGCCTTGATAGCAGATAACGCCAAGCATGAGATACCTGCCACTGATATGTCAGAGAGACACTGCCCCCTCCGGCCATCACAACATGACCCCAAGCCCAACATTGTGCCTATAGGTAGGTCAGAGAAGGTGGGGAGAATGCCTTTATGCTCAGATAGCCTCAAGTGCATTCCAAAAAACTATCTACAGAGTAAACATTGGCCCTTTGCAGACTTCCATTGTGTGGCCTGGGGTGAACCTTGGCACACTGGGCAACCACAGGCAAGTGACCTCTCTGAGCCTTGCTTTCTTCACCCCAAAAATGAGGATAGCAGTAGCAGCAATCCTGTCATATGGCCAGGAGAAACTCCATTTTTCTCCAGAGGCCCTCCAAGCCCCGTGGAGGTGCACTGCTATCATCTGCAGGCCCCCCATGATGGCTTCTTGAGCATCTTAGGTGCAGGCCGAGGTCCTCCTACAGACTTCAGGCTGCACAGATAAGCAGAGGCCCCTCTTGTACCCTCTTGACTAGTGGTCACCTCTTTGAAGTACTTGTTGCATGACTTCCTCCTGACCCTTACCTATGAAAATAGTCCTCTTTACATGGCACAAAGTGGTCACTGTGAAAATGCTACCTCCCTTTTGTGCATCCCCTCCCCATCTCAGATTTTTCCCTTTTTTTTTTATTTTTTTTTTTTTAAGATTTTATTTATATTTGTGTAGAAGAACTGGGGTATGGGCCAGAAGTACAGGGGATGAAAGAATTCACCAGAGACAGAGTGGGAAGCAGAACAGGTGGATCTACTGAAATACACTGCTAAGGGGAGCAGCGGGTGAGACAGGAGAGGTCTGCTGCGCCATATGTGGGTCAGCTCCCTGACTGGGGTTCAAACTCAGGCTGTCACAGAGATAGCGCTGAGACTTAACCCCTAGACCACCAGGGAGGTTTTTTCCTTACAAGAGTATGACAACATTGGCATCAGTCTGTCCCCCAGTTTTGCTTTTCCTTTTCCCCTTCTTATTAAAGCATCATCACGAGCCTTCCATTTTTCATGGTGCCTGGCATATGTGTTTATTCACAGCTGGAGACATGTAGAGGACATTTGAGAACTTTTTGTTTTACTAGATGCTTCTCAGATTTATAGTTGAGCACACATGCAAGAATTCCTGTTGGGCAAATTCCTGAAGGAGGAATCACTGGATTGTGGAGAATGTGCTCTGAAATTAGACTCCATCTCGCCATCTTGGGCTCCAGAGAGATGTTGTCACTCCTCGTGCCCTGTGGCCCACCCTAATTGGTTTCTGGACTCACTCCCTCGGGCTGCACACAGGCTGGTGTGGTGTGTGGGTCATGGGAGCCGGTGCTAGAAGAGCTGACTGATGTCACTTTTATCATCATCATCATCACAGCGTATCACTTGGTTTGGCTTCTCTACCCCAGCACAGCTTGGTCATTGCTCCGTGTCCACCCTGTCCTCTTCCCCATCTGCCCCATCCTGTCTGTAGCATGCAGGTCGTTTAAAGGCCCCCAGCAGGTTGTTTCCCCGGGCAGAATGATGGGAGTATTTTTCAGAACAACTCTCTTCTCTTGGCTTTTGTGCTTTGCACGTGAGTCTGCCCCCTTCTAGAACAAGGAACAGGAATGTGTGTTCTTTAGAAGTGTACCTGAGGCTATAAACTCACAATCACTGCTTTCTAATGATATCACTTGTGGCCAAATACCACAAACTGGGTGTCTTAGACAACAAAAATTTTTCTCATCGTTCTGGTTGCTGAAAGTCAAGATTGAGGTGTTGGTTCCCTCTGAGGGTTTCTGGTGGTTTGCTGGCAGTCTTTGGTGTTCCCAGCACCTGCCTTCATCTTCACATGGAGCTCTCATTGTATGTCCAATTTGCCCCCTTTTTTGCATTTAAAGATTTATTTATTTTTGCATACAAGAATTTGGGTACAGGCCGGAGGTGCAGGGGATGAGAGGAGTTGCAAGAGACAGAGTAGGGAACAGAACAGGCGGATTGACTGAAATGAACTGCTAAGGGGAACAGCAGGTGAGTCAGGAGAGGTCTGCTGTGCCATGTAGGTAGCTCCCTGGCCGGCTGGGGATCGAACTTGTGCTGCAGTGGCTGCAGATATCTTCACCGTCCTGTGCTTAACCCCTTGTGCCACCAGGGAGACCCTAATTTGCCCTTTTTACTAAAGACAACAGTTACACTGGCTTAAGGGCCCAGCCTACTCGAGTATGACTTCACCTTAACCAAACTAATTACATCTGCAATGACTCTTTTTCTAAAAAGAGGTCACATTCTGAGGTCCTGGAGGTTAGGTCATCAACATGAATTTGAGGGAACACAGTTGACCCTCTGACAATTGATAAGGAAGTGCTGTGAGCACGGTATGGATTCTTGAACCCCCTGGAGGCTACCACTTGTATGCAGTGTGTCCTCCTGCAGCTAGCAGAAGGTGGCTGAAGTCACCATTGTCCACTTGGTAGTCCATGCTGTGGTGCTGTGTCTCATGACTTTGAGCCTGGTTTGACCTTCAGTCAGGGTACCCCTTTCCAGATGTAGTATTAACATAGGCCTGTGTGGTCTCTGGGAAGGAAATCCAGTTTACACAGCATCCATTGATGTGGGCCAGGGGCGTCTAGGAACCTGGGACACCTTGCATCTGCCCCCCCACCAGTGTGAGGGGAAGCCCTGTTTATCAGCAGCTGAGCTTGCTGCCCTGGTAGTTTGCTGGCATCAATCATTTTGTCCATAAAAGAACTTCAGGGTTAATGTGGCAGTCACAGCAAGGGCTGGTCACCACTGGGGCCACTCTCCTGAGGAAACTCCACATACTACTTGAGTAGATCAAGAATTTGATGAGTGGGAATGATTAAGGCAGACAGTGCAAGGGATTGAGGGGAGCAAATAGAGATGCTTCTAGAGGCTTCCCTGGTGGCGCAGGGGGTTAAGACACAACCTATGAAGCTGTCCACAGCCACTGCAGCATGAGTTTGATCCCTGGCCAGGGAACTACCCACACGGAGCAGCAGACCTCTCCTGACTCACCCACTGCTCCCCTCAGCAATGTATTTCAGTCAATCTGCCTGTTATGCTCCCTACTCTCTGGTAAATCCTCTCACCCCCCCCTCCCCCACCTCTGGCCTGTATCCCAGTTCTTGTATGCATAAATAAATGAATCTTTTTTTAAAAATGCTTCAAAAAACCAAAATGCTAATAACTGTCCCCGTTCTGTACTGCTCACATTGTCATGCTACTAATAAGCTGATAAGCAGCACTTAGAGGTACTTTGTAAGAACTGGGCTGGATGCTGAGGTGGCCATGTGTGGCATTACCATATTTCATCAATTATATGAGGCCTTAAAAATTTAACTTCTCTGAAATCAAAAGTTTAGGTGAATTGCCATTTAATTGGTAGCATTCTTTATCTTCTGTGGGTACACAAGTTAATAGTGCATTATAGAATCAGTGATTTCTTGCGCTTAATGATACCTAGAAACTCCTTGAATCCTCACAGACACCCTGTGTTGTAGATGCTATTACAGTCTACACACTTTGCAGATCAAGAAACTGAGGCCAAGATGGACAAAGCTTCCTGTGTAAGACCTCACAGCCCATCCATGGTAATGTCCCGACCTGAACAGATTGGAAGGTGGCTGAAACCACCTGAATTGTGTGGAGGGGCTGCCTTAACACCCCAGTCAAACCTCAGGGCAGATGTGACTGAGCTGTGATCCCTACATCTCACTCTTGTCATCTGCAAAGTGGGGAGTAAAAACTGCCCCACTCCCCCAAATTCAATCAATGAATAAACCATAGCAGGCCTGCTGCGTAGTGAGTGCTTGTAATAGGCACCTCCTGTGTGTTGTTGATTTGTTTTGACCTATGCATACATTTTGCTGCTAAAAAAAGTAAGCCATGGCTTGACTCAGGACCTAACCTAGAGCCATGTTGAAACCTTGGTTTTGACATTCAGGTTTTCTTTTTCCTGGTAGGATGGTCCAGCAATTTGGGGTGGACTTTGAGAAGAGGATCGAGGGCTCTGGAGACCAGGTGGATACGCTGGAGCTTTCTGGGGGCGCCCGGATCAATCGAATCTTCCACGAGCGGTTTCCCTTTGAACTGGTGAAGGTAGTGCTGGGCCCTGATGTCTCTGGTCAGCACTGTCCCCTCAGGTGTCCTGATGGGCAGCTTAGAGGTTTCCAACAGAGCTGCGTGGAAATTCCATTTTTCTCTGAGAAAAAAGCAGTATACCTGTTGCAGTACACATAGAAGATGTAGACAAATTTACATGGGCAAATATCCCCAGTCTGTTGTAGGAGGGGGAAAAAAGCAGGTTAGGAGAGCAGCATGTGTAACATAACATAGAAGTGATACTTTGTACTTCTTACTGTAAGAAATGGTACACTAGTCAAGGTGTGCCTTTGCACAGAATCTCCAAGGGTGTTTGCAAAAATGTCAGTGCTGGGATTTTGGGGATTTTTTTTTTTTTTTAAAGATTTATTTATTTATTTATACAAGCACTGGATACAGTCAGAAGCGGGGGAGGGTGAGAGAATTCATCAGAGCCAGAGCGGGTTGCAGAACAGGCAGATTGACGAAATACACCACTGAGGGGAGCAGCGGGTGCAGCAGGAGAGGTCTGCGCGCCATGTGGGACCCTCGCCTGGCGCCCGGGGATCGAACCGGCGCTGCAGAGGCTGCAGGCAGCTTCGCAGCCCAGCGCTCGACCCTTGTGCCACCGGGGAGGCCCTGGGATTTGGGGGATTTTAAGCTGTCTTGAAGTTTGATAGCTTTCACGGTAGGTACATATCATTTATGATATAAAAACTAACAAAGGGCCACCCTGGTGGTACAGCAGGTTGAGCACAGCGCTGTGAAGCTGTCTGCAGCCTCTGCAGCACGGGTTTGATTCCCGGCCATTCAGGGAGATTCCCACATGGCACGGCAGACCTCTTCTGTCTCGCCCGCTGTTCCCCTCAGGTGTATTTTAGTCCATTTGCCTGTTCCGCTCCCCGTGTTGTCTCTGGTGAATCCTCTCACCCTCCCACACCTCTGGCCTGTACCCCAGCTCTTGTATAAAAATAAATAAATCTGGGCCTCCCCGGTGGTGCAGCGGGTGAAGCTGTCCGCAGCCTCTACAGCGTGGGTTCAATTCCCAGCCAGCCAGGGAGCTACCCACATGGCACAGCAGACCTCTCCTCCCTCACCTGCTGTTCCCCTCAGCAGTATCTTCGGTCTGTCTGCCTGTTCTGCTCCCCGCTCTCTCTGGTGAACTGTCTCGCCCTCCTGCACCTCTGACCTGTATCCCAGTTCTTGTATAAATAAATAATTTTTTTTGAGAATTTTTTTTTTTAAGATTGATTTATTTATTTATACAAGCACTGGGTACAGTCAGATGTGCAGGGGTGGGGAGTGGAGTGGGGGGGGAGGTGAGAGAATTCACAGGAGCCAGAGTGGGGAGCAGAACAGGCAGACTGATGAAGTACACTGCTGAGGGGAGCAGCAGGCGCGGCAGGAGAGGTCTGCGCGCCATGTGGTACCCTCACTGGTGGCCGAGGATCAAACCGGGGCTGCAGAGGCTGCGGGAGCTTCACAGCCCAGCGCTCAATCACTGCACTACCTGGGAGGTCCTAAGTAAATAAATCTTTAAAAAATAAATAAAGCAAATATTGTCTAAAAAAATTTAAAAAATGATAAATATGTAAAATAAAAAAATAAATCTTTTAAAAAAACTAGCAAAGTTCTTTTCTATAAAAGAATAGAAGCTAAAAGGCAAAACACCCATAATTCTTACATCCAGAGGCAACTCGGGTTAACACCTGGATGTGTCTTTTATTTCTGTGCAGATGGGTAAGCCCCTTGTATACACAAACAGCACATACGTTCATCCTTACTTGTGTGCACATATATGTGTATTTTTAATTTTTAAGTAATTTTATATGTATTTTTAAAAGGATGAAAATAATACTGTTTATTGAATACTTTAAGACTGACAGTAGGTACTTCATGTGTATTATTATTAATACATTTACAGCAAACTGATGAGGTAGATGTTCTTATTACCCCCAATTTACAGATAAAAACATTGGGGCTCAGAGGGTTAAGTATTTTCTATAGATATTGAATGGCTAGGATTTAATCTTGGCTGTCTGACCCTAAATCTTACTAAGTTTTTTACTGAAGTAACATTGGTGTATAACATCATAATGGGTTTCAGTTGCAGAGTCTTATAAATCAGCATCTGTTCACTACCAGAAGTCTGGCTTCCATCCTTCACCATATATGATTCCTTTGACCTAGTATACCCAACATCCCTTCCCCCTTCCCCTCTTGGGAACCACTGTTTTGTTCTGACGGTCTAAGAATTTGTTTTTGTTTTACTTGTCATTACTTTTGTTTCTTTGTTTTCCACATGAGTAAAACCAGTGTTTTGCCTTTTTCCTACATACATAGCTAAGGGGAAAAAAATTATAACCTGCTTTTTTCATATGGCAGCCATCTTACCAGACTAGTCATACACATTGCATGCATTGTTAGTAGTAAAACAATCTTATGGATGTCCCACCATGCATTGAACCAGTTACTCATTGAGCATTCAGGTGTTTTTCACACTTTCCAACAGTTATGAATAGTTCTATGAATGTAACTCTTTGTTAATTCCGCAAGAAAAATTTCTAGAACATTTTAAACTACCAGGTGACAGTATGTTTTTGGAGAGTCTCGATTTGTATTGCCAAGTAGTCCATAAGAAAAATTTACATGAATTCATCACTTTTTTGGCCCTTTTTTTGTTTTAATTTGAAGATTTGTTTTTATTTATTTATGCATGGAAGAACTGAGGTCTAGACCAGAGGTACAGGGAGTGAGATTCACCAGAGACAGAGTGGGGAGCAGAACAGGTGGATCTACTGAAATATACTGCCGAGGGGAGCAGCAGGTGAGACAGGAGAGGTCTGCTGCACCATGTGGTCAGCTCCCTGGCCAGCTACCTGACATTCGAGCTCATGCTCCGTGGCTGGCAATAGCTTGATAGTGCTGAGACATTAACCCCTGCACCACCAGGGAAGCCCCTCACTTCTCAGCCTTTTGATTAATATCAAGTGTAGAAAAATTTATATGAATTCACATTCCCTCAAAAAGAGAATGTTAGTTTCAAACCATGAAACTGGGTTTCAAAATTTTTTTTACATTTTGAGCAAATAATATTGTGCCATATAAAGACAGCCACATTCAGAAGATAACATTCACCAAATACTTACCTTTTTGCGGGATTTCCCAGGTATGTCATATGCATTTGGCTTCTTTGTTCTCAGATGGAGTTTGACGAGAAGGACTTGAGACGGGAAATCAGCTATGCCATTAAGAATATCCATGGAGTCAGGCAAGTCCCGTGGGGATAGCTATGTTCCCTTATGTCTCCATGTTGCCTCCCTCCAAGTCTGTCCCTCCCAAACCTCCGGGTATGCAGATTGTGATGCCTTTAGAGGTCCCTGGGTGTTTTTCAGTAACTGTCCTCTCCCCCTGGATCTCAAAGGGCACTTGAGGGCATGTGTGCTCAGTCCTTTGTAGACCTGCTAGAGTCCATGGGACTGCTACCCTTGGGTTAGTACCCATGGTACTACTACCCAGATGGCATGAGCTGCAGCTACTTTGGTCAGCTGAGAAAGCTCACTACAAATTTGCTTGAGGGGGTGGAGGGGAGGCAGGGGTGTTAGAAAGCCAGAGCTGAGTTGCTGTTATAAGAACTTGCATTTGTTCCCAGCATGGGTCTCCCGTGAGCCGCCCAGGTCCCCTCCATATGCCAACAAACATTATCATCCCAATTGTCTGGTCTCACATGGACTAGGGGATCTGACCCATGCCTATGACATTGCTGACCGTGCTTTGTTTCTCTCTGACTTATCTCCCCTGCCCCTGGGTATGGATGGTTTTAGGACTGGGCTCTTCACCCCGGACATGGCATTCGAGGCCATTGTGAAAAAGCAGGTCGTCAAGCTGAAAGAGCCCTGTCTGAAATGTGTCGACCTGGTTATCCAGGAGCTAATCAATACAGTTAGGCAGTGTACCAGTAAGGTATTGGACCCTCGGCAGGATGATTCCTGGCCTTGTGGAAATGGGGTATGGGGGTTTGGTATCAGGCTCCCAGTGCTGCCTCAGCCTTTGCCCGGCCGGTGCCTTCACCTCAAGCCCCAACCAGATCCCCTCAGTTTCTAAGAATATAGCCTCTTCCCAGAGTCTGGGACAGGAGCATTATAGCCCCGGCACAAGCAGGGCAGGCTGGCCCTGCAGAACTGGCCAGACTGGTGGGCAGGGCTCCCTAGGACCCTGATACCAAGCCTAGCATGTGTCTGATGGAATTGGGGGTTTCATTGGGCTGTCGCTTTGCTGCCTTCCGGGAGCAGAGAGGGACCCCGCATCAGCTGCTGGAGGCCGAGTGCCTGGAACCTCCCTGGTCGCACCCTTTTTTGACAAAAGTCTGGCGCCCTCAGGCATCTCAGGAGCCAGCCACTCTTCTGTCCCCACAGCACTCAGAAAGGCCCAGACGCCAGCAGCATAATGAGTGCCCAGTCCCAGACTCCACAAAGCTCCTGAACTCCGAAGGGCCTTCACCCACCCCTTGCACTATCACCCAGAGCAGCTGACCTCAGATCCAATGGGTCACAAGCTCCTGTGTGTTGGTGTTCACGGGCCACTGCCTCCACTCGGCAGGATGTGCCAGGCCCCATACCCCCCACCAGCCTGGTTCCCAGGGCAGCACACTTTGGCCAAGCAGCTGAAGCACTTTCTGTGGGCAGTTTGTGCTTGCACGTCCATGATAGCGGAGAGCTCTGGGTCAGCTTTCCAAGGCAGGTCATTTCTGCTTGAGCCTTCTTTACTTAGTCTGGCAAAGCCCACATTTGCTTCTTAAGCTTCTTCAATTGGAAAATAAAAAGGGGAGGGGGATGGGGGGACCCAGATGGGTTGAAGGTGATGTCATCCTAGAGTCCTTTTCATGGGTATGAAAACTCAAGGCCTCTGCACTCCCTTAGCTGTCCATATGATGACACCAACCTGTAGTACTTCTATAATTAAACCCTGTGCCAATCCCACCTGTCACTCAGGACCTTTCTTTGATCTGAAGCAGCTTCCGGGGCAAATGCGGGCACAGGCTCCTCCATGCATGTCACTAACCAGCTGATTCTCATTTCTTCTCTCTCTCTGTCTCCTGTCCCGCGTGTGTGGTCTGCACTGTCCCTGGGTGTCTTTCTACCTCGTCCTGCCCTCCACATGACCCAGGACGGGGCTCTTCACCCCCGACATGGCCTTTGAAGCCATTGTGAAAAAACAGATTGTAAAACTCAAAGAGCCAAGTTTGAAGTGTGTTGATCTCGTGGTTTCAGAACTGGCCACGGTCATTAAAAGGTGTGCCGAGAAGGTAATAGAAGGTTTCATTATTATCACCTATGCATTTGCCCCCTGCCTTCTCCCTCCCATTTGTCAGTGTTAACCCAAGCATCTGGGAAATGCTACCTTGGCAGGACCACCCCCCTCCCTCTTCTTGGGCCAGTGTTACTTGGTGACATCTGAACTTTGCATCAGCAGACAAAAATGGGGGCTTGCATCACATGCATGTTCCACCTTTGCAGTTTTGGTACCAACTGATGGGAGGTGTCAAATGCTATGATAGGCAACAAACAGGACTCAGGCCTGGAGCCCTTAGAGAAAGAGGGCCTCCCAGCTGTGTCGTAGGAGTGATACACATCATCAGGTTGCAGGCCTGCATGTTCTTAGTTTCAGGCCACTTAATGAGTGATTTGGCACACAGCTCAATTTCCCCAACTTACGAACTTGACGCAAACTGCAGAAAGTGGACTTCCTGTGTGTTGGTTTGGTGACCGTTACAAAGACGAGAGGCACCAGGGTGTTGGAGGAGCAGGTTCCAATGGTTAGATGATACAGAATGGCTATCTTCAAGGGCGTCCCTCCGAGGTGGGTGGCCCAGATGTTGCCGCTACTATCCTTAGGCAGGTGCTGCACACTCACGAGCTGGGTAGGAGTCCTCACCCTAAGCCTTAATGGCTCTAGTGACACCAGCCTCCTTCCTCTCCCCCAGTTCTGGGTGGGAAGCAGATGGTGGTCACTGCTGGGTGGCAGACACACCACCTGCTCTCCCTACACTTTCCACCTCTGAATCACATTTTCTGAAAGCATTTCTGCTTGTGTGTGGGAACCTCTCAGGCCCACCGTCCTCCAACATCCCCTTCTTATCTCTTGACTGGCACCGTTAGGAGACAGGAAAGGGGTAGGGGCTCGGTGGGCCACTCATGTATGTCATCTCCCTTTTCCCTGCATTTTCCATGTGGTTCATGTGCTTCCCATGTCATGGGGGCCACTTCAATGCCTCCACTCTGCTTCCCCCCAGCTCACCTCCTATCCCCGGTTACGAGAGGAGACAGAACGAATCGTCACCACTTACATCCGGGAACGAGAGGGAAAAACCAAGGAGCAGGTATTAGCTTTTATTTTGCTTTTCTGGTATAATTTACATGCGGTAAATCCTGAATGTACAATTCTTTGAGTTTTGGCAAATGCATATAGCAAGGTTATCCCCCTTCTATATCAGTCAAAATTCACAGCAGTTCTGTTATCACCCCACCCTACCAAATTCCCAGTCTTTGCTCCCTTGGTTATCAACACTTCCCCAGTCCCAGGTCCTGGCAACCACTGGACTGCTCCCTGCCCCTGCAGTTTTGCATTTTCCAGAATGGACTTGTATTCCATAGTTCCTTGATTCTGACCACCTTTGCTCAGAGTAATGCATTTAGGATTCATCCCTGTCGTTTGTAGTGTGTCCAAAATTTGTTGCTTTGGTTGTTAAGCAGTCTTCCATGGCTTCATGGCTATTTGGGCTGCATTTTGTGTTTTAACATTTTCTTGATAGAGAGTGGTGTGCCCCCACACACATGCAGCAAAAGTTTCATCTGTCCCCTGCTGAGTGACCCAACCCCTCGTCTGAGTCACTTCCCCTCCGTCTGCCCACTTTTGGCAGTTGTTTAAATCGAAAGTGAAATGAACCATTGTCTCCTACTTGGTTGTAGTATTGTGTTTGAAACAGACCCTCTCCCCTTGACACTGATAGAGAAACTGGCTCATTTGACCCTCAGACTCAGCCCTTCCCTTGTAGCTTCTAGGCCTGAAAAGTATATCAGAAGCTTGAGAGATGCCAGTTCACTTTGTTGCCATCAATGGCAAGGATGCTGCTGTCCCTTTCACACACACCATGGTTCCCAGCTACCCCAGCATCATCATTGCTGGGCTTGACCCACAGGCTCAGGGGCAGTGGGACTCAGGCCTGACAGAATCAACAGTGGTGATTCCAACAACCCCATGGGGTCTGAGTGCTGACCCATTTTATGCTTGAGGGCCCTGCAGCACAATGAGGAGAAGGGGTAGGATCCTGCCCCTTACCTGAGATGACATCCCAACTAACTCGTGTGTGCCTGCATGTGTGTTTCATTTTAATGTCCTCTCCTAGTCACATTATCTTGGCCTTTTTTGGGTCAGAAGGGGACTTACTGTACTGTGTAAAAAAGCTGGTTGTACAGAGCAAAGATTGTACTAACACAGGTGAAGTGGGGAGACCTAGAGGCCAGAGCCAGGAGGATGGAGGGGTCACATCCCAGCCCTCTATACCCCCACCCCAGTCATCTGCAGGGGAGGGGGCAGAGAGGACCAAGCAGATGCCCTAGCCCTTACCCCCAGCGTTATTTTTCCTCATTTTGCTGTCTTAATGTGGCACTTATGCTGGGCGCTGAAATCTTTATACACTGTGAATTATTTAATCTTTCTAGTTAAATCTTTCACTTCCCCATTCCGTAGCTTGGTAACATGTGCCCCAGGGTCACACTCAGTGGCTGAAATGGGACCACAGCCTCAGTGGTCACCCAGCTCCAGAGGACTTGTCCCTGATTGCCATGCTAGCCGCCTGTCTCACTCTGCTCCTCTGATCCAGCCTTACTTCGTTGATGTTTGAAAGCAGCCCATGCCTCCTTCCCCTTGCAGATGGGTCCTAGGTGTTTGTGGTGGGAGGGGAACCAGGGCCATGTACTTGTGGCCCCTGTTCTCCTGGGGGAAGCAGCATGGTTCTGACTCCCCTGCTGGTGGGTACAGAAAGTGCTCCAGCTGCTGTCCTTCCCTGCCCCACTCTGCTGTACACTCACAGTGACCCCCGCTTTCCCCCAGATTCTGCTTCTGATTGATATTGAGCAGTCCTACATCAACACGAACCATGAGGACTTCATTGGATTTGCCAAGTATGTACATGTACTTTTCAGGACAGCAGTGGGTAGGGTGGCACCAATGCCAGCCCCAAGGGAAGTGGTCAAGTTGGGATTCCCTAAGTGGGTTGGGGCAAGAGGATCTTGTCAGGGCTCCTAGGTGAAGCATGGAACCATCTTGAGAGTATCTGGAAGCCTCCATGAGCTAAGAGCAGCCCCAGTCCCATTGTCTATAATGTGCCTCCTGTCGTCAAACTCATCGGGAATGAGCAAGGCAAACAGCATGCAGTGCTTCCTTCCTTGCAGGACTTCTGAGTCTTTCTTCACCTCATGTATAGTGTACCCTAGGTACCCCCAAATGCAGCCACCCCTTTCATAGAGTATGTCAGTGGTTCAGGGTTGCAGAAGCCACTCTTGGGAAATGCTGCTCAGGATCTCCATGGGTTCCCTCCCTATAGCATAGATTTGAGACCAGAACCTTCTGTGTACCCAGAAAAGGAACCAGAGTGCAGAACTATGATTTTGGCACTAGGTAGAATAAACATACTGTGGTGAGGTCACCCGCTGGTTCTGTCAGTCCCCGAGGTCCCCTCAGCAAGCTTGGACTCCCCAAGGATTGTTTTGATGGCCCATGGAAGTCTTCTTGCTCTGAGCCCATTAGAATCATCAGAGGCTACCCACCTTTTATTTATTCCCAGATCTTGTGGATGTGCCTTCTAGTGCCATGCCTTATAATACATAGGAGCAAGCACAGACCCAGGGCCTCACCCTCAAAGGAATGCACCTAGGCAGTTCAGATGGTGTGGTCCATGCTGGGGGCTGTATAGGCACCATGGGAGTCCAGAGGGTGGCCTTCTGAGCTGTCTTTGGGCGTCTGACAGGCTTCTTTGAGGAGGAGCTGGGCTAGAGAGTCTCTGTCTAAGTAGTTACCTGGGTAGAACAACGCACTCAACACACTTGATCGAGCGGTTACTTTATGTTGGGTACATGGGTGGAAGGAAGGAAAGAAAGAAAGAAGGAAAGAAGGAATGGGGGGATGATCAGAAACTCCTCCTGGAATGTAGACAAACGTGGAGATAGCCCTCACTGGATTATCCCTGCTAGGTGTGGGTTTGGGGGGGGTCTCAGGCAGCACCTTAGAGATAAGGCTCGGCTTCTGGGGAGGCAGCCTCTCCTCCTGTTCCCTCAGCAGCCAGGAGTGTATGGACTGAAAATGTTGGTACCCCCTCCTTGGTTTACTGCTTTTTTCCTTGTCTTGATATCTTTGCTTCTTATACTTCATCCACAGTTCCTTCTCACAATCTCTCCTGTTTTTCCTTTGACCACTCCACTCTTTCCTCTGGATTCCTGGGCCTTCCCACTTCCCCCAGCTGTTACTATACTGAGCAGCTGGTGACCGGGTGGGTATTGCCTGCTGTGTGCCTTTTTCCTGGTGTGTAAATGGGGACACCCTGGCTGGGGGAGGGCCCAGGGTACCAGGCTCCTCCCAGCCTGGGTAGATGTCCCAGGCACCCGCTGAATAGCTGTGGAGCCTTTTCCCAGAGCCTTTGGACTTGGTTGATACAAGCCATACTTGAACTCTGCCCCTTCAGATACCACAGGCAGGAATGGTAACAAATTGTACAAATTGTCACAAGGAAGATGAGATTTGGACAGGAGGTTAGGTGAGGGGCTTGAGAAAGGGAAATAAGGGATGTGGCCTGACAGGACCTTCCCCAGAACATCATGACCTCCAGATGTCAGGCAGGAGAGCCTGGGGGCGTATAGGAGGCAGGGAAGGAAAGCTGAGCAGCAGGAGCATGGGGAAACATGACAAAGACCAGGTAGAGGTGAGAGGCCAGGCCAGAAAGGTCCTATTGGCCAGGGGTAGGCCTTGAGATTCCCTCTCTGCCCTGCTTCAAGAAATCTCTGATTGGGTGAAGGCAAGCTAAAGGGACAGCCACATGGTTGCCAGGCAAAGATAGGAGCCAAGAAGCTATTAGAAGTAGTCCATCTTGGACCTCACAAGCTTCCAACCATCGCTGTGGGTGGTCCTACCTCCTTCAGACACTATTGATCAAACTTTGTCGTATACTTGTTGTAGACTGCTTTCTCGCTGCCCTCTAAACACTGAAAACAAGAATTAGAAAAAAGTCGTATAGTGGGCCTTCCCTGGTGGCGCAGCGGTTGAGCGCTGGGTTGCGAGGCTGCCCGCAATCTCTGCAGTGCCAGTTCGATCCCTGGCCACCGTCGAGGGTCCCACAGACAAACAAACAAACAAACAAACAAAACATAAAAGCTCTATAGTAATCTCACCAAGTGTTAGAAAATTGTTGGATAAAATCTCACCTCCATTCATAATGTTCCAACTTTACTCATCTAGTAGGAATAGAAGCCTATTTCCTACACACACACACACACACACACGCACGCACGCACACACACACACACACACACACCCATAGCCTGCTTGAATTTTAAGGTGAAACCACAGACGCAGTAAGCAAATGAAACAAGAATGGTTTGCCTTTTCATATTATTCCTAAATGTTACAGCTAAAGCAATAGGATAGGAAAAGACAATAATGACATTCAAGTACCAAGAGACATTAAATATTTGCAGGTTCTGCTATCACCATCCAAGTAGAAGGAGCTTGGGGAGCTGACTAGTACACATACAAAATACAGTGGGACTGTGTGGCACATACCTAGTCAAGAAACAGGATAGGTGAACAAGAAAAGAGATCTGGGGCTAGACAAAGAAGGGACCTTCTGGAAACACTCCCTGTTGACCTTGATTGTCCTCTCAATTGGCTCAGGGGTCATCTGAGATGAGTGGTGTTTTCATGGCAAGCAGTTGTCTCTGAGTCTCATGACCCAAGCTGGAGAACCCTGTGGCCAGGGCCACGTAGGACCTGGTGGCAAGGTTGGGATAATGAAAATGGAAAGAAGCTTTAAGTTTTTAGCTGCCTAACAGCCTGGCACTGCAGTTATTCTGGAGTCACCTCCGGAATTCCTCCCAGCTACCTCCCAGCTTCTCTTACCCCCTCTTGGAAACTGCAGGATTCACTGACTTGTGGAAGCAGCTGCACTCTCAGGAGTGGCTGAGACCAGGGCCTAGAAGCTTTGATTTAACTCAGTGTTTTCTTGTTTTATGAGCTTGAGCTATTTCCCTTGGGCAGTGTTTATGTGAAGGGGCTTCTCTCTGCCTCTGCTGGTCGCTTGACCCCCCCTGCCCCTGTGGAAGAGATGCCCTCACCTGGGCCATAAGGGCCTTTTGATCCTTGTCCCTCTCAGCATCTTGCCGCATGAACCCTCTCTGTGCTCTGGTTTCAGTGCCCAGCAGAGGAACACGCAGCTGAACAAGAAGAGAGCCATCCCCAACCAGGTAGCCACCCTTCCACAGCCTACACCTCCACTCTGGCGGCGGGAGGGCATTAAGGGACAACCAGTGCTGGCGCCCGGTGCAGGGCACACCCTCCCGGAAGCTGGCACCTTAACCCCAGACCCCTCCACCCCCAACCTCTCGAGTCTACTAAGGTTTTGATGTTTCAGGAAAATGAGGTGAGAGCTGAAGCTCTAGCAGGGCCTAGGGAGCAAATTTCATAAACCCAGGACATCCTGTTGACACCCAAGGTCACAGAACTTGACCCTCGAGAGAAGGGCAGCCCAGTCACCTATGGTGTCTATAGCCAAATTGAGGTGTCAGTCCCAGCCCCAGGGACTTGGAACCTGTGTGAGAGGACTGGATAGGGGGCTGTGTTGTGATAACTGTGTTCTGGGGCACTTGGCTCTGTGCTGAGCCCCACATCTGGAGAAACCCGGAGCCTTAGAAAGGGATGTCCCTTTTGATGTGCCCCAGCCAGAAGCTGAATGAAATATGAACGTATTTATATTTGCCAGTATTAGGTGCCTTTTTTTATTTTAAGAAAACTCTTCATTCCTGCAGAGATTCTATCAGTTTCCCCCACTTCTCCACATGGGGGGGAGGGGTAGCTCTGCTGTTTACCTGCACGACTATAGAGCCCTCTTGAAAAAGAAGGATGTAACCGCTGCATGATTTTTATTTTGCGCTTGCCATAGGTAATACGTATGTTGTTGCTTTTTTGTTTCAGGAGATGATAATGAATTAAATATTAACACCATGAATATAATTAATAGCATGTAATTTTTTTTCTTTTGCTGTTTTTCCTCCTGCTCTTCTCTTCTTCCATTTTTGTGCTTTTCCTGCTTTTTTCTCTGTTCCCTCATGTCCCTTTCGTCTCTTTTCCTCCACCTGCTCCTCTGTGATTTACCCACCACCCTAACTTTGCATTTTCAAAGGGGGAGATCTTGGTAAGTACCCATTTAGTGTGGTAGTGAACTTTAGCGACCCTAGTAGTAATGGAGACCCTGCCGCCCTGTAACATTCCCTTCCTCCCCAAAATAACATGACTAACAATCAAGCTAACCTACAAACCCTGTGCCGCGATGCAGGTCTTAGTGTTGTCCTGGGCATCAGCCATAAGCCAACTCACATAGGCACTAACCTGACCTCTGCCTTGTTGGAGAACCCCCTTCAGCCCATTTCTGACAGGTTGACCTGGTTTCCTCTAAGTCGGGATGGCAAATACTTGGCTGACACTCCATGCCCCTCTCTCTTCACGTTCCTGGCCAGGGAAGATTTTGGTCAAACCTTACTGGAACTTGTTCTTGCTACTGCCACTCCCCTTTCCATCACAATACAGAAATATCCCTCTCTTGCACTCATGGCTGACTTGACTAATTGATCCAGTACTTTTTCCCTTGTGCTTATCTCCTGTTAATGTGCCTGTGTCAGACATCACTAACAAAGCCTGGTGTTCTTTCCTAAGCATGTCACCCACTCCCTTTTCTGTGGCAAATGTGACTTCCGCCCAAGGTGTTTTTCCCCCCTACCTATGCCTGTGACAGAATGACTGACCTGGGAACTCTCTCCTGGATGCTGCCTCTCTCCTGCCTCTAAGGCAGATAGGATGATTGATTAGACCACACTGTTCCACTTGCATCCTTCCATCTCCTTTGCCTGTGGCAGCCATCATTAATTGATCTAGCATTCTTTACCCATTGCACCCAGAATTCTCCAGGCAGCTCCTAACTGTGGGTTAGTGTGAGCCCCTCCCCCAGATGAATGGTATTTGCCTTCCCTGTTGTAGGTGACACCTCCTTTCTGTGTATGGCTTGGCCTAGCCCAGCAATGCAGGAGCTGCTCACACCCTGGGAGTTGAGCTCTTTTCAGGGTGGTCACCTCCGGGCAGCTGGCCTGACCCCTTGGAGAGTGCTCCAGCACAGAGGCCTCCTTCTCTGGGATATTCTCCTATTCCCAGCCACTGGGGTGCTGTGTGGACCCCTGCTGACCTTTGGCAGAGATCTTTCCAGTAGCTGAGCTGTGATTCTGTTTCAGAACCTCACTATGCCCAGGGTCTAGAGGCTGAAGAAATGGCCAGTCTTGGAGGGGGAGGATAGAAGGAGTGATTGTCCTTGGACCCTTGGTGGCTGCTTTCCCCATGCATCACCCCAAGCAACCCCAGGGGCCTGCTTCACCTAGCACCCCAAGGGGTTTAGTCATTCTTCTTCTCCTGGGAAATTCCACCCCTGCCACAAAGTCTATCTCTTGGGTCTCCCAGCCCTAGTTTCCATCCCTGTCTGGGCAACTCAGACCAGCCTCTCACCTGGAGAAAACTGGACCATCTTGCCAGCAGGCCCAGCTGTGCTGCTGCTTGCCTCCTGCCCATGCCACCCTGGTGGCCCTGTCTCCAGCCCCAGAGTGCCTGCATGCCTGTCGCTGTAACACCCTGAAAGCATGGGAGACTTGCGTGCCTCTTCCGTCCTTGCACCCCCACCCAGCTCCTCCTCCTCCTAAGCACAATCACTATGGCATGTGCCCCCTTGGGCACAAATCAGGTTTTTAAATATGGGAACTTAGCCACTTCTTTTTCTCTAGACTTAGCCCCCTTGCCACCCACTTCTCCCTTCCCTCCTGGGGGTGGCACTTCCTCTCTCGCCCCACTTGGGTAGCTCTCTGGATAGCTTGAAAAGGGGACTTTGGGGCTTCTCCAGGCCTTATCAGCCGCCTCCTGCTCTGAGGCTCAGATATGCCATTCTTGGCCTGGCCTCAAGCAGTGCTCCCACCATGGCCACACACCCCACAGCACTGCCTGGGCCCTGCCGCTCTGGCTGCTAACCAAGGGTGCAGACAGGCCATACGGGCACATCAGCCTCCTTGAAATCCAGGTTGGTCCGGAGAGTGCTGCAGCCTCTCTGAGGATTTCTACCTAGGGGGGACTGATCCCTATCCCTTACTCTCCCTTCCTGGCAGTCAATTAATGACTCAACTGAGATTTAGCAGCAGTTCCTGGGGAGAAGCAGACAGCTCTGGGGCTGGACAGCAGACAGCCTGGTTGCCAGAATAGGGATTCCTTCCTAGGTCCTATGCTATGTGGCAGTGCCCCCAGTGTGACCGTTATCCTGGTTTACCCAGGCCTGAGGGCAATCCCAGATTGAGCACAAATCCAGGATGTTCTGGGTCAACCACTCGAGTCAGTCATCCTGCTGCCAAGGAGGATGCCATGACCTCTTTGGGGCTAAGAGTGACCCCTCACCCACCAGGCAGCCATGGGTGGGCAGGTGCCAGAAGTCCCTACATACCCCCTGAGGACTGCATGACTCCCAAGTGTTGCCTTATGCTAGGGAGAGAGAAGGCTGTGCCCTTGACTTTATCAAGGTTTTCCAGGTAGCATCTCTTACTGTCCCCATTCTGGGCAGAGACTTCTACATGGCACAGGAGTCCCTGGGTGCTTATGGCCACCTCATGTTCATAACCTTTGAGGCTTAGATCCCAAAACCAGCTACTGGGGTGACCCTATTAGGATTTGAAAACTGAGGGCAGATCAGGGCAAGCTCAGATATAGTCTGTAGACCCCAGAGTCATTCCTGCAGCCCCAACTCCAGTGCTCCTGCCCTACCCCACTCTGGGGGTGCTCAACATCAGCCCTTCCCAGATGTCTGTGGCCACGCACAGCACACCCTCTGCAGCTTGGCCCAGTCTGTCACTGCCCTGGCCCCAGGTGGCCCTGCCTGTGCTTCCATGTGCTTCCCACTGCCCCAGGGTTCTCAATCCAGACTGGTAGGGGCTCTGGCCTACTCTTGCCACCATGGCCCAGGGAACATGGGAACATGGCTCCCCCAGGCTGCCTGCATTTAGCTGTCAGGTGAGTTCCCCGCATAGACTTGGGTTCTGCCTTCCACTCATGGCAGCTATGGCCAGACAGCTCCCATTCCTGGGGTCCCCCAGCCTAGAGCCCTGTGGTGTCAGTCAAAGAAAAGTGGGGCCACTGGATATGAAGTCAGCATGGGGCATGATCCCCTAGAGGTTCCTGGAATCAAACTTTTGTCCCCAAGCCTCTGGGTAGAGACTTTCCTTTATCCCTTCACTCAGAAAAGAGCCTGTGGGGAAGGGAACCCGGGAGCAAGTTCTGGCTGTAACCACCGGTAAGAGCAGGTCTCTGTGACCACTGAGCGCACCCTCCCCCAGTCCCGGTGAGCTGGGCAGATGAGCCAACAGGGAGGCAACTGCATGTTAAACCTCTGCTAGTCTACCCACAAAGGAGAGAGCAAAGGAACCACTCCATTGTGTGGGTGACTCCCTGCTCCTCCAACACCACCTTCCAGTGAGCTTGAGGGGCAGGGGCCATAGGCATCCTGTATCCACATCTCACCAAGACAAGTAAGCTCTTGCATTGTCACATCTCATGTGATGAGGACCTAAACACGAGCATTGGACCCCTCTGCCACCTGTGCTAACTCATTTTAACCATGTGCAAAGGGGCTCTCTCGGGCCTGTTCCTTGTCACTCCTGGACCTGTGAGTGAGTAGGTGTCTGCCTGGGTGTGCCATATTGGTTTCCAGCAGGAAGTGCTTGGGGCAAGGCAGAGTGGGGTGTCTGGCTTTGGGCTAGAAGTGTGTCTGTCAGGGTCTGGGCTTCCTTCCTTTTTCTGGGCATAAGCACTGGTTGCTGCACTGGGGGGGCGGGCTGAGCCGGGGTGCCTCCGCTGAGCCATACCCTCCTCACCAGGTGATCCGCCGGGGCTGGTTGACCATTAACAACATCAGCCTGATGAAAGGTGGTTCCAAGGAGTACTGGTTTGTGCTGACAGCTGAGTCACTGTCCTGGTACAAGGATGAGGAGGTAAGTGACTGATGGAGCAGTTGGGCAGTAGTTGGGGGTGCTATTCCCCTGGCTGGCATGCATTCACTTGCCTGCTCATTTGAGAAATGTGCCTCAGAGTTCACCACTGGGATGGTAATCACGAGCCAGATTAAGCATCAAATAGCACCTCACCCTACCATGCAGCGTCTGGCCCAGAGGTGGCTTGACTCCTTGAGGAGCAAAATGGGGTAAGGGGAAGCCATCAACAGATTGGAAAGGGATCCCTGCCTCCAAAGTCACAACAAAGTGGGCCCTGTATCTCACTAGAAGGGCCAGAACCTGGGGTTCGGGACTCAGGCTCACAGCCAGCCTGCTGGGTGCTCGAGTCCCATTGCCCAGAGGCTGCGCCGACTCCTCCAGACCATTAGCCTCTCTGGGCTTCAGTGTCCTCAACTATGAAGTGGAGTGAAATGGCCCCTGTCTACTGTAAGGTGTTTTTTTTTTTAGCTACCTTGTCTTTAGAACATTTCACTCGTGGTTGCCTTATCAGGAGGAAGTGGGCGCTTGACCCAGCCTCCTATCCTTAACAGAACAACCTAACCTTGGAGGAGAGCCACTCATTTCAAGTGACTGCCTGTTGCTGCTCTGAGGCAGGCCGAACATCACCAGGAAGGGGCACTGTGTTTCGTTTTCCCAGGTTGTACTATGGGAGGCCCACAACCTACGTGGTGTTAGGTGGATATCTATTTGGGCATGTGTCAGAGACCCAAGGTGAAGACACTCCTAAAGTTTGTTTCTTGCTTTTGACCTGGTAAACTTGACGACCCAGTGCTGCAAGGCTGACTGGCTGCCTTGTGGTCCAAGATGGGTGCCCCTGTGTCCACCACCAAGTGGACCTCTAGCAACCCTATGAAGGGAAAGAAGGATCTGATGAGGAAGGCATGTGCATCACTCTGTTTATGTACCCTCAGAATCTAGTCACACAGCTACCAGCAGGAGAAGCTGGACTCCTCTGATCACCCCAAGAGCTGCTCCACCTAGATCTCTTTCTCCAGGGGGATTTAGGAAGCATCCCCAATGGAGATGGTCCACATTGGGGGCCTCACTGATAGCTAACCCTCACCCAGGGGTGGGCAGGCCTGGGCTCACTCATGTATATTTCTACATCGGCAGGTAGAGCTGGGAGCGGGGGTCTGGCGGGGGTGAAACTCCTGGCCAGTGTCTTCCTTGCTGGCTGCCAGAGCCCCTCAAGGCTATATTTGAAGGTACCCTCCTCCTCCTAAGTCCTCATACTTCATTTGGGAACAAGGAAAAAGGCTTGAGTAGTGATTTGCCCCACATCACAGAGTGGGGAAGGGTCCCTGAATGGGAAATACGAGGCCAGAGGCTCTCCCTGGAACCTCCTGACAACTCAGGTGCCCCAAGCCTCTCTGTTTGGGACCCTGTTTGGACAGCTGTTTCTCAGCCAGGGTGGGAAGGGGTGGGAATGTCTAAGACCCCAGAGATGGCAAGCCTCTCACGGGTTAAGATGCAAAAGAGAGGGAGACCAAAGAACCCACGTGACAGATCAGCTTCTTAAAATGGCTGGTTAAAACCATTCTAATTTTCTCCTTCTCTGCCGCTGCAGTCTGAAATCCTGTCCCCTCTATGGGACTTAAGCAGTCAGGCAAGCTGATGGCTGGTCCCTGCATTTTGCTGGGCAGTGTGGGGATCTTCTGGGATCTCCAGGGTGGGAATGCCAGGCCTAGCAACAGCCCTCAGTGGTTATACAGGGGTTTCCAGCCAAACCCCAGCCTGGCAGTTACCTAAATGGTGGCATCATAAGTCCAGTCGTAAGAGTTCTTAACTTTTAAGGAGGGGTGCTTGATTTTCCCCTCATCTTGGGGTTGAAAGCAGGAGCCCCAGACCACCTCCTGGGCCCCCTAACCAGAGGCAGAGGAAGTTTGAGGAGGGTTGTTGAGCGCCTATAGTAATGAAAACCAGCAGAGCTGTGAAAGGGGCCCCGTGTGCCCCAGACACAAAGCAGGCTCAGATCCAGAGGGGGCCAGACTAAAATCCTGTGCCTTGTCACCCAAGGTAGGATCCCAGCAAGGACCGTGAGAGAATCACGCATGCAGTGACCACCCATGGCAGTCAGGCCAACTTTTGGGGAAGCCTCAGACAGGCAAGCCATCAATAATCTTTATTTGAAAAATAAACAGGAGGTGGTGGTTATTGCCATGGGGTATAAGAGTCTCGGCTACAGACTCCTAGCTCTTTACCCACCCAGGTACTTCTCCTAAAGGAGAAGAATATTCTCTCTAGAATATTCCACCTGAGTCTATACCCTAGTGGGAAACAGGGTGTTGGGCAATGACACTCACCTCCAAGTCTGCCTTGCTGTGGGGGTAGCAGCAAATTCAGGGGGGCTGTCCTGACGTGCCGTTTGCCCGAGCCCAGCCTAACCAATGTGCAGACTACTGTACACATTCAGAGCCCCCTGAACAGGTAGTCTGAACACTGGGTTGGCGGGGCCGGCTGTCCATCCTACAGGCCCCCCGGGTGGCGGCTGGAATACGGCGCCTCAGCTCCTCCAAGCAGGCAAGGAAGCTAGTGCTCTGCCTGTGACGATCAGCTCCGTCTTTTCTGACGTGGCAAGACTGGGGCCAGCTCACCATCTGGAGAAAGTTGTGGGTTTTCAGGAAATCCTGCGGGGGTGGGGGGGGCAGTGAGGGAAGTGGATGGGGGCGTGGAAGGAGGGTTTAGGTTGGGGGCCTCTCTGTGAGGTCTCTGGGTGGGGGTGGGGTGGGGCACTTGCATGCATGTGTGCGTGCGTGTGTGTGTGTGTTGTACACATGCTGCAGCATCAAGACACTGTAGGCCAAATCATGCTGTAAGCAGTTCCAGATGTGGTGTCTCACTTGGAGCCCGAAAGGCCTATGACTCAGTTACTTGGCCTGGCCAGCCAACTAGAAGCTTCCTGCCTCATGGCACAACAGGGTGGAGGCAGCAAAGGCTCTTCCACACACCAAAACTAGAGACAGACAGACAAAAGAAAACTCTTTTTTCATATTCTCACCTTAATCCTTACTCTGCACCTTGATAGTAAGACTTCTGCCCACCTTTAACAGATGAGGAAACGGAGGCAGAGAGGGTATGTGACTTGCCCAAAGTCATACAACTGACGAGGGCAGAGCCCATCTGAGCTCTTAACACCGAAGATCAGAGCTCATGTACCAAGTCTGTATCCCTTTCCACAGTCCTAAAATTTCCAGCGACTTCTGCTCATCAGGGAGTCCCTGACCCCCGCCCATTACCATGACTGCTCCAATACCATGAATTCAAAGGCAGCAGCTATGTTGAGCCTTCCAGGGATAGGGACAGGATACATGTGACAGGCAAACTGCTGGGTGAGAGGGGCTGTCTGTCCTCTTCAAAGATGCCTAAGAAGAGGAAGGCCAAGGAGTGTCACAGAGAGACCATGGCTTTGGATCATACAGACCTGGCTTCTGAAGCCCCACTGTGACTTACTTGTTGTGGCCCTAGTAGAAGCGCTTCCCTGGCAGGGATGCCAGAGAGGATTCTTTAAACTGGCGGACGAGCAGTTCTCGGTATCAGTCCCTGAAATCTGTCATGGGTCACATAGGCATGAGTCAGGGGACCCTGTCTCTGTGCTCCGGTCTCCTGAGATAGACCTATGGGACCTAATCTCCTGACAGGCATGCAGTAGTAGGTGCTTTGCCAACCTCAGTGGATGAGCATTGGCTCCAGAACTTCTAGCGCCATAACTTCAAACACCAGCCCTGTGCGCCTAGCCAAGGGATGCATCCTTTCTGAGCTGCATCCCTAAAGTTTTGGGGACAGCCTGGTCAGCACTCAGTCGGCGCTTCCTGAATGTACTCACCATTTAGAAGCAAGTGACACTTCTTTGGCGTAGGCACTCAGGCATCAATCTTTTCTGGGGTGGGGGGGAGAGGGGATGCCTCACTTTCCAGATCTGTATTTGTCTGAAGCTGCCCCTCTCTCTCTGCTCAGCCTCCTTCTCTGTAAAATGGGGCCATAGTAGTGAACTCATACACAGGCTCATTGTGAAGACATTAACCAAGTAATGGTTTCATTCTTGTAAACTGGAGGGATTTCCAGCATCCACTTGGTGGAGAAAGAGAGAACAGACAGACACATAATGGAGTTTGGGGTGAGGTCAGGGAAGGCCTCACCAGAAGTGTCCCCTGAACAGATACCTGAAAGAGGCAAGGAGGGAGCTGTGCAGACACTCAGAGCCCTGCATGTGCACGGGCCCTTGGATGGGACCCCAGCTGAGATGTTGAGGGAAGTTGGCTGTTGGGGCAGTGAATGAGCAGGAGGTGGTGGCACAGGTATTAATTTCATTAAAGTGACCTGCACTGACTGGCATCAGGTGTTAGTAGGGGTGGTCTTTGAAGTAAAGTCCAGCTTGGGGCATCATCAGGTTCTCCATTAAATAATACTGGCTGACCAATTCTCCTTCCACCCTCAGGAGAAAGAGAAGAAATACATGCTGCCCCTGGACAACCTCAAAATCCGCGATGTGGAGAAGGGCTTCATGTCTAACAAGCATGTCTTTGCCATCTTCAACACGGAGCAGAGGTGAGGAGGGGGTCCCAGGGAGGAAACCATTGCCTTGTTCAGTCACTTAGCAGCATCCACAAAGCAGATGACAGTCCACACCCTGGAGTCTTAAGTTCTAGAAAGAAAGTCTATCCAGAAACAGAAGAATGCCATGAGTGCTTCTGATGGGTATCTTGGAAGGTGCTGAGCAGAGGATATAACCTGGCCGGGGTGCTCACATGCGCCCTCTGTTGTCTGTGCAGGGAATGGAGGGGCAGGACACCAGGGAGGAGGTCTGGGTGGAAGATAGTGAGAATTGGACCCAGGTGGAGCAAGGGTCATGGAGGAAGAGGAAGAGGGAGTGGGTACTGAAAGAATTAGAACCAACTAGACTCCTAGTAGACGCGGGTGTGAGAGAGAGAATGGTTTTGCTGGTTCTACAAAGCTACTCACTCACCCCTGATAGAGTTCCAAACCCAGGCTTCACATGAAACTTCAGATAGCTTGTCAGTCTTGGCCACACCTGCCTTGTGGGACAGGACATTGTGCCTGTGACGTGGAGCCTTGCCTGTGGAGCCTTCTGTTAATGCCGGATAGCATCTGTCTGCTTTTCCTCCAGCCCAAGCCTGTGCGTCTTCCACTCACAGGCCCACATTTGCCCAGCATTTTATACACCTTGCCTGGATATCTTAATGCTGTTCCTGGACAGCCCCACATTCCTACTTGTCCTCCAGAAATCAGGGCATATTCTAGACTTTCACTATTCAATGCAATTGCCACTGACCACATGGGGCTATTTAAATCTAATTTAGCTGATGTGAAATAAAATCCTTTCATGATGAATTTAATGTAATATGCACACATGTTGATGTCCAGTGATGCACCTGAAATTTATAACTCAATGTTACTTCAGTTAAAAAAAAATTAAATAATAAAAATTAAAAAATAAAAATTAAAAATTTCTCTTCCTTGGTCACCCAGACCATTCCTAGTGTGACTCGTGGCTGTCTTGTTGTATGGTTCAGCAAGAGACCATTTCCACTATCAGACAACTCAAGGGCCTCCACACCTGGGGGAGGGTGTCATGGGATACATGCCACATACTTTCGGGACTTGTTTGGCCCCCACAGGGGAGTGAGAAAAGGGGATAGGCTGGCCCCAAGGGAAGGAGAGTAGTTGACTGAGCCCACAATATAGGGCTCAACACAGTAGGCACTAATGCACAGTGCCCCCGTAGACTTGAGTGCAGATACTGCTGCATTTGGGTCCTCCTTTCACAGAGGCCTGGATCAGGGGCGAACGCCAGTGGGTCAGCCCCCAGAGCCTTTGCCTAGCTCTGTACTCGCTGGGCCTTGGCAGCATCAGTGCACACCCCTCCACCCCTTCCTCCTTTTCATTACAGGAACGTCTATAAGGACCTGCGGCAGATCGAACTGGCCTGTGACTCCCAGGAGGATGTGGACAGCTGGAAGGCCTCGTTCCTCCGAGCCGGCGTCTACCCTGAGAAGGACCAGGTGAGGCACCAGCCCTACCTGTGAGAGGAAGGGCATCCAGTCTCCCCTGGGTGTGTCATTTGTGGGCCTGTTGAACTCTCTAAAGGCATGTGGTGATACCCTCTTGAGCAAACAAAGCAAAAAGGCAGGAGGGATTTCTTATCAGAACCCAGAAGGTTCTCCATCTAAAGCCAAGGAAGGGCAGGGACACATGTGGACTGGGATTCCATCTACTTCGTTCTTTTTCTTTCCTCCCATCTTTGAAGTAGAGTGATGATAGCTGCCCTCAGCCCCCAAAGTAACATGTTTCTCCAGACCCCCAGGTAAAAGAATCTAATCCAACTTGAACTAGATCTGAGCAGCCCCAGCCAGGGGTAGGCAGGGCCACGTGGTACAAATGTACCCATCAGGAGCTACCCCCACAGAGTCAGTTTTTAGTCAGACAGGACAAGCAATTCCAGAGAAGGGGGGACTCACTGTACTCACCTCGGGATAAAGTCACCCCTCACTGTATCCCCTTCTCCCCTTGCAGGCAGAAAACGAGGATGGTGTCCAGGAGAATACCATCTCCATGGACCCACAGCTGGAGCGACAGGTGGAGACCATTCGAAATCTGGTGGACTCATACGTGGACATCATCAACAAGTCCATCCGAGATCTCATGCCAAAGACCATCATGCACCTCATGATCAACAATGTGAGTGCCTGTCTCCCCAGGGCCCACTGGTCACCAGGAAGGAGCTCAGGGGTGGCCATAACCAGATTTGGCTTGAACGCCATTTGTATAAAATTTTAAAAATTAGAACGAGTCACCATCTTTTAAACATTAGAATCAGCATTCCCAGCCACTCTTGGGAAGTTGAAAGATGCAGGCCACAGACTCACACCCCCAGGTAAATGAAACTTATGCCATGCTTGTGCACTTTCTCTCAGTTTTTTTTTAAAGATTTCTTTTTATTTATTTCTGCATACAAGAACTGGGGTATAGGCCAGAGATGCAGTGGTGAGAGGGCCCACAAGAGACAGAGTGGATCTACTGAAACAGGACCTAGCAGAACAGGAGGACCTATTGAAATACACAGCTGAGGGGAGCAGCAGGTGAGACAAGAGAGGTCTGCTGCACCATACATAGGCCAGCTTCCTGGCCGGGCATCAAACTCATGCTGCAGTGGCTGGCGATAGCTTGATAGCACTGAGACTTTAATCCCTGAGCCACCACGGAGACCCTCTCTCAATTTTTTTTTAAAGATTTATTTATTTTTATACAAGAACCGGGGTACAGGCAAGATGTGTGGGAGGCTGAGAGGATTCACCGGAGACAGAGCTGGGAACAGAACAGGCAGACTGATGAAATACACTGCTGAGGGGAGCAGCGGGCGAGACAGGAGAGGTCTGCTTCACCATGTTGGACCCTCGCTGGCCAGCCGACCGGGATCGAACCCATGCTGCAGAGGCTGCGGACAGCTTCACGGTGCGGCACTCCACCACCTGCGCCACCAGGGAGGCCCCCCTCTCTCAATTTTTTTTCAACCTTGTAATAAACCTAGGAGGAGGGACTGCTAACCTCCTCCCTGTTTTATAGACTGGAAATGAAGCCCAGAGAGATCAAGAAACCTGCCCCACATCATTCAGAAGAATGCGATTGAAACCCAGATTGAATCCATTCCCAACTGTAGCTCTGCATCAGCAGCCACATCCTCCTGATGTGCTGAGGCCCAGCCCACTTTTTCTTGTGTTTGCTACCTGCCTGCCCCAGTGATTCCAAACCTCTCAGAGCTGTAGTCTTCTCTGGTGAAATGCTGCTGGAATGTTCCAGAGGTTCACACCTCAGGCCTTTGGCTTAGCACTAGGCACTCAAATATAAAGGCCAGGTTTGGTGTATGTTGTGACTATAAAAGCTCTAAATTTGACAGGGTCTAAAACAAAAATCCCAACTCCTTCCCCTTTAGTCTGTTCTTCATGTCCTCTTCCTCATCTGTGATCATACTAAGTTTCGAGGGTGTTCTAGTGTATTTCCTCAGATGAGATTTATGATGTATATGGTTCTGCCTGTATATGATTGGCTAGTGTTCTATGAAACTTTAAGTGCATACATGCTTGACCCAGCACTGCTACTTGGAAGAATTTCTCCTACAGGTACATTTGCCATGTACAAACTGAGCACACATGGTTATTCTTTTCAGTATTGTTTTGTAGTGGCCACTATTAGAAATCACTATTCATAATAGAATCCATTTAGGGGCCTCCCTCATGGCGCAAGGGGTTAAGTCTCAGCACTATGAAGTTATCTGTAGCATGAGTTCAATCCCCAGCCAGGAAACTGATCCACATGGCACAACAGACCTCTCCTGTCTTGCCCACTGGTCCCCTCACCAGTGTATTTCGGTAGATCCACCTGTTCTGCTCCCCACTCTGTAACTGGTGAACCCTCTCACCCCCTGCACCTCTGGCCAATATCCCAGCTCTTGTATGCATAAATAAAACCATTTTTTTTTTTTAAAGATTTTTATTTATTTATTCAAGCACTGGGTACAGTCAGAAGCGCGGGAGGGTAAGAGAATTCACCAGAGCCAGAGCGGGGAGCAGAGCAGGCAGAAGAACCAAAGTACACTGCTGAGGGGAGCAGTGGGCGGCAGGAGAGGTCTGCGCGCCATGTGGGACCCTCCTCCAGTGGCCGGGGAGCAGCCAGGGATCGAACCGGCGCTGCAGAGACTGCGGGCAGCTTCGCAACCCAGCGCTCAACTGCTCCGCCACCGGGGAGGCCCTAAATAAAACAAATTTTTTTTTTTTTTTAAATAGAGGCATGTTTTATTTTTTTTTTTATTTATTTGTTTGTTTGTTTGTTTGTTTATACATGCACTGGGTACAGTCAGAAGCACGGGAGGGTGAGAGAATTCACCAGAGCCAGAGGGGAGAGCAGAGCAGGCAGACTGACGAAGTACACTGCTAAGGGGAGCAGCGGGTGGCAGGAGAGGTCTGCGCGCCATGTGGGACCCTCCTCCGGTGGCCGGGGAGCAACCGGGGATTGAACCAGCGCCAAAGAGGCTGCAGGCAGCTTCGCAACCCAGCGCTCAATCACTGCGCCACCCGGGAGGCCTTAAATAAAACAAATTTTTAAAGAAAAAATAGAATCCGTTTAATAAGTGTTCATTCTATTGCAAAAAAAAAAAAAATGTTTTAGGTGAGTGTCATCTCCAGTAATAACTTTTATTATTAAGTGGAAAAGGTATAAAGCATAACAGAATACACTCCATTTGTGTACAAAAGAAGGGGAAATAGATATGCATTATATAGGCACAGACATCTCCACAAGTTTGTTCAAAAACCTGGTGAGAATGGGCCTCCCTGGTGGTGCAAGGGGTTAAGCACCACACTATGAAGCAATCTACAGCCTCTGCAGCACGAGTTCGATCCCCAGCCAGCTGGGGAGAAACCCACATGGCGCAGCATATCTCTCTCTCGCCCACTGCTCCCCTCAGCAGTGTATTTCAGTCAATCTCCCTGTTCTGTTCCCCACTCTGTTTCTGGTGAGTCCTCTCACCCCCGCACCTCTGGCCTGTACTCCAACTCTTGTATGCATAAATAAATAAATCTTTAAAAAACAAAACTAAACAAAAACCTCGTGAGAACAGCTGTTTCCTGAAAGGGAAACTTGGAGGAGCTAAGGAGGCCAGAGTTTACAAGGTTTTTCAATGTATCTTTCTAGACTTTCAGATAATTTATTTTAATTCTTACCAATTTTTCAAAATTTAAGTCTTTCGATGGCATTAATTATTCACATGATCCTCAAATTAAAAATGATCAAGCATGGTCATCTTTGTAGCTGTTGAAGGTGTATTTGAGAGAATTCAACATTCATTCTTAAAAGGATAACTGTGGAGTGGAGTCTTGAGGTATTATATATCCTTTTGAATCTAACCTTCACCTCCAGTGCGAAGCTCTGATGCATGTCCTCTAAAATTAAGAACACTTTGATGTAATTTTCACGTAGAGTTAGTAGACAGTGTAGTTCTATAAGAAAAATGGGAGGTATGAGCAGTAAGAAAAAAATAGGAAAAATTGTCCCTATTTGTAGAAGCTTGTGTCCACATGGCACCTGCATCTGGAAACCACAAGAAAAATAATCAGAAAACTGTTGTCCCACATAGGAGAAATGTGAAAAGAACAAAGGATAAAATTAATGAACAGAAACCACTAGTTTTTCACCAGAAGCCAGTTAAATTTAGGCCACAAGGGGGGAAAAGATAGCAATAAAAAAGATTAAACTCCCATGAGTTTAATGGAATCACATGAATCTCATGAGATGCGTGGGGACAACAATTGACAATATCCCTGAGGGACTCAGAAGACAACTGTGTGGAAGGCTCACCTGCATTTTAAATATCTTGTGAGTTTAAAGTCCAAGTTTATAAGTTCCACAGTAAAGTTAAAGCCCAAACCCCTCCACATTTGCTGGATGCTTTTCCAGTGTCACAGTAGGAAGTTCTGACCTCTCCAACCCTTGCCCCCAGACAAAGGCCTTTATCCACCACGAGCTGCTGGCCTACCTGTACTCATCAGCAGACCAGGGCAGCCTCATGGAAGAGTCTGCTGACCAGGCCCAGCGGCGTGATGACATGCTACGCATGTACCACGCCGTCAAGGAGGCGCTCAACATCATCGGGGACATCAGCACCAGCACCGTGTCCACGCCTGTGCCCCCGCCTGTTGATGACACTTGGCTCCAGAACACAAGCAGCCACAGGTCCCACAGGTTCCCAGCTTCCCCTGTGTGTCCATCAGGGCACAACCCATGGGTGGGTGGGATGAAGGGGCCTTACCCTGGGTGGCACAGCAACCACAGTGGGAACTGCTGCCCCATCTAGGCCTGAAGAGAAAGGAAAGAGAAGGGTTACAGGCACCAGTCAGAGCTAGAGCTGTAGAGAGATCTAGCACCCCGAATCCCAAATTCCCTCTTCTGCCACCTGCCTAGTACCTCACATTGGTTAAGCCTAAATGGAAGCCAGAGAGGGCAGGAGGTCCCAGGCCTTAGGCACGGCTTCCTGAAGCACAGAGCTGGACCAAAATGGTGGGTGGGGGAAAATCTGGACAGCATACCCTTGCCAGGGCTGTCAGATGGATGACCCTGGTAGGGCAATTCAGAGCACTAGGAAGGGATACCTGACCAGTGATAAGACAGGTGGTGGGAGAGAGGGTTATCAGGAGAAATTACATAGAAGGTGCCAGTACCACCAAGACCTCAGGAGGAAGGCACACCATCCTCCCCTCAGATCCCCGGAGAGCCTTTTGTGGGGCTGGGTGCCAGGCCTTGCGGAGGCATTTGGGCAATGTCTTTAGCTTTGGAGGGGACAGAGGGTAGGTGGGGAAAGTGCCTGGCTCTGTGGGAGGTCAGAGGGAAGCAGGAGGCCTTGGGAGCCAAGGACAGGTATCAAGGCACTGGCTCGGGCTGTGGGTGGCAGAATGGCACAGCCCATCACTAAACAGGTCTGGGGAGAAAGCAGAGTGCCAGCCCACCTGCTGTGCCCCTCACCCAAGACTGGGTGCTCATCTGCTTGTCTGTGGGTGGTAGCTGGTACCAACCTTTCAGAGGAAGCCAGGCTGGTATGGCCAGGGCTCAATTCATACCCTCTTCCTCCACAGCCCGAATCCACAGCGCCGACCCATATCCAGTGTGCACCCCCCAGGCCGGCCCCCAGCAGTGAGAGGTCCCACCCCAGGGCCCCCCCTGACTCCCATACCAGTGGGGGCAGCAGCCTCGTTCTCAGCGCCTCCCATCCCGTCCCGTCCTGGACCCCAGAGCGTGTTTGCCAACAACGACCCCTTCTCAGCCCCTCCTCAAATTCCATCTCGACCTCCTCGGATTCCACCTGCAATCCCCCCAGGATTGCCCAGGTAAGCCCCTCCTCACTGCCTGCCATCTAGAGCCACTACTAGCCTGTGCCATGGGGTCTCTCCTCAAATGTAACACCCCCTGGTGAGTTGTCCCTGCACCTGGCAGAGAGTGTAGGAGTCACAAGCATCCCCATTTAGCTAGTAGGGAAACAGGCCCAAAAAGGCAAAGTTGCTGCCAGAATCATCATGGTAGAATCGGTGACCCAGGGCTCCCAGGTGTATCCTCTGTGGGAGTTGGTGGGCCTACCATGCAGCTTGGGACCTGTCACGCCTCACAGAATCCCTTCTGGTTTGACCTTTGATTTTCCCGAGGACCCATGTGTCTGTTGTCGTCGTCCACCTCTGACACCCTCAGCCTGCTGCAGGCCAGACTATTCCCACTTGACCATGAGGAGCTCAAGGTCCAGGGCAGGCCAGAGATATGCCCAGGGTCACACAGCAAGCTAGTGACAGTGGGGGGACTGACACCTAGGTTTGCTGAGCTCCTTCATGACACCCTAGTCATCTTAGAGCCTCGAGCATAGGGTAGCATCCTGGGGTGGGGGTGCCTGGGTCCTCATCTTGCCCGCTTTGGGCCTCACTTCAATCTCCCCTTCCCATCTGTCTTTATTCTCTTTGCAGCAGAAGACCCCCTGCTGCGCCCAGCCGGCCCACCATTATCCGCCCAGCCGAGCCGTCCCTGCTCGACTAGGCTGCAGGGGGCATGTTCTTGGGGGTCCTCGAGTACCCGAGGTGCAGGAGCTTCGGTGGTCTGGGCCCCTCTGTTGCCCCTAGCCCTCCCGTCCCCATGCTGGGACCAGGCTTCCTGTGGGCTGCCCCTGACTCTTCCCTAACCCTGACCACTCCTCCCTGACACAGCACTGAGTGAAAGGACCCTGAAGTCCCAGGGTCGGGGGTGCTGAGGTGTTGCACTTTGATGGGATGGCATCTGGGTAGCAGAGGAGGGAACTGTACCCTGGGCACCATCTTGCATGAGGGATCTAGACTGGGCTGGGGGGGTACTCATCCAGGGGCTTCTCTGAACAGGAAACCTGATAAGCCTTCTGGAAACTGGGGCACCAAGGGCACCTATACCCCCACTCTGATCCTTGTTGGGGTGCAGGGAGTGTGTCCACTTCTCATCAGTGGGAGTTCCCAGTGCTGCCCGAGTTGTACATATTCTTTCCTTGTCCTATTAACCAACCAGCCCAGCCTTGGCTGCCGGAGGTGCCTTTGCCAGGTCTAGATCTCACCACTGGCCAGCCTCACTCTCTCTTCCCTCAGCCCCACCCCCACCCCCTTCCTGGGTTTCCAGGGAGGCTTGGGCTCAGGGCTGAATGGGTTGAGGAAGATTTGAGGGCCTCTGGGCTCCCACCCATGGTGGGCCCCAGACAGCCTCTCTCTCTGAGCAGACCTTCTCGCTCCTTGCTCAGTTTGACCATTGTAAGTGCCTGCACTCTGTATCCTATTAATAAACTAAAATAAAGGGAAGAAGCTTCTGGTGGCTGCTGTGTGGGCCTTTTGTGTTAGCCTTCAGGCTGAAGGATGTGGGCTGCAGACCACTGCCAATGATAACCCCCTCTCAAACCCTCCCACCAGGACTTTGCCTCACCTTAACTCACAGAGGGCTCTGCTCTGGGGAGAGGGGGAAATGTCACATCTTCCAGAATAGAACCATTTTCTCAAGGGAAGAGCTTTTACTTAACTCTTCAGGAGCAGGGGCAGATATTCCGGGCTCTCCACCACTTACACAGAGGCCTAGAGCAGCTATGGGAATCACTAAAGGGACAAGGGTTCCAGCCCTCCACCCCAAACCAGTGTCTTGCCCCCCTCCCCACCCCCATAGTCTTGAGAACTACTCCCAGGTCCCACTTTTTCCTCTTGCCCTCTTGGACACCCAGGCCTTCTAGCTCAGCTAGGGACACAGTTAAAATTTGCTTTCTGATTTTTCTCTTGTGCCCAGGAGACCACGTCCATCGGCTCCCGCCCGACCTTTCTTCTGAGCTTCGTGGGAGACCCCTCCCTCCTGCCTGGCTGCCCCTTTGGGGCAGGTCTATCCTAGCTCGTGTCTCTGAGCCCCAATCACCAGGCTTTATGATTTTCTGACCATAATTTATTGACTCTGGCACCCAGGCCAGACTGCCCTTTATTCCATGAGGCTCCTGCACAGGCTTGGGTTGGGCCATCCCTCAGCCCTGTCTGGGGACCCTGCAGAGACTGGGAGGGGCAGGAGATTACAGGCCTTACTCCAAGTGTTCTGTCACCAAACCTCATAACCTGCTTCCTGTGGAGCTGAGGGGCCAGGGGCTCCTCCTTGTCAATAAAGTGACTATCTTGGCAAGAATACTGCAGCCATGTCACCTCCCCAGCCTAGAAGCTGCTCCCAGCAGCATCAGCAAGAGGCCTTTGGTTGGTGACAGAGAGAAAGGCATGGGGTCCCTAAAGCAGCAAGCTCCCTCCCACCATGACCTGGCTCAGAGGGCCCTGGTGGGGAGCAGTCAGAGAAGTTTGCTTTCTGGGCCCCATCCTTTACTGGGCAGCACTGGTGTAGGCTGGAAGACTCTGACTAAGGCACATTCACGGTAGGGGGCAGAGGCAGCAGCCAGAAAATGTAAGGGTTGCATTCTAACATTACTAAGGCCCTATGCATGATTTCCAGGAAAGTTAGTGCCACTGCTGAGCTCTCCCTCCCTCTCTAAGTCCTGGGGGCCCCAGGCCTGCAAGCCAGCCTGTGTTCCCTACCCAGGACCGGGGGTCTCAAGGAAGTCACAGCTCAGTCCCAGACTGCACAGTCTCCTTGCATAGGAAACTAAGATGGGGAAGGGACCCCAAGTCTCATACACAAGCCCTGCTGCCCTCCTTTCCCCATTTTCCATCCATGACTGGGGCTACGTAGGCACGGGGCGCTTGTCCTGGAAGAATCGCTTGAGTGTGCAGACCTGCAGGATGGCCACAAGCAACAGCACAGCCACATTCACAGCTGACCAGAAGTTGACCCGCTCCAGGTTGCCCTCCTGCAGGTTTCGATCACGTGCCTCAAAGGCCCGCAGCAGTGTCAGCATCTGGATGCTACGCTCCAACCGAGTCCTCATGGTCTCAATGGACTCCTATGGGACAAAGGGAAGAGCAGGGTCAGTCCTTCAAGGAGCAGATACTGATAAATCCAGGGAATATGGGGCAAGACAAGAATGTGTTTGGGAGTTGGGACAGCTGAGCACACAGACTAGCCAGTCTGCCTGAGCCTAAGTCCTCACTGCTACTTCCTGGCTATGTGACTATGAGCAAGTTAATGAACCTCCCCGCACCTGAGTTCCTTCCTCAGAACTGCTGTGAAAATTGAATCCCTACGTATATGTAAAGAATGTGTTACATGTGGCTAATAAACAGCAGCTACTCAAGCCAGACTGCCTGGGTTCAAATACTGGCTCTGTCAATTGCTGGCCATGTGGCCTTAGGAATGAGTTACTTAGCCAACTTGTGCCTCAGTTTGCGTGACTGTAAGTGGGAGATAATTAGAGTACCCAGCCTACTTCTTGGGGTGGTTATGAAAGTATTTAATGAATTATTTGAGCCATTAAAACAAGTTTCTCCTAGAAATGTGTTAATATTTTAATTGTGAGCTGCTACTGTTAGTTGGGGAGTACCACTAAGTGAGGGAGGCTTCTGGGTCAGGACATGGGGGACCCCAGCTGAGGTAGGCAGGCAGAGGCACACTGCCAGAGAGCTGGGAGAGGTGGTCCCAGCTGTGCTTGGGCACACCTTGATGTCTTCCATCTTGACATCCAACATCTCTTCAGGCTCCACCGCATCTGCCCAGCCCTCAACCTCTTCATCATCTTGTAGACTGTCAAAGATGAGTTCGAAGAACACTAACTTCTCAGAGATTGTGCTGAAGGAGTTGTCAAAGCACAGCTTGTAGTCCCCAGCCTCTGTGGGCTCCACCCTGGGCAGACAGACACAAATATGACCTGAGTGGCTAGCCTGCCGGACTTTGCAAAGTAGAGAGGGTGGTAACTCGAGGCCACTGAAGAGAGGCAGGGCTGTAACTGAACCCAAGCAAGCAACTGGAATTAACTCACGTGTGCACCCCATCTGCCTTGCGGGACTCGCTGACCAGCAGCACGCCCTGAGGACTCTCCATCGTGAAATCCACGTCCAGTCCAGCACCTCCAATCACCTGGAGTGGGTAAGAGTGGGTGGAGGGCGAAGGGTAGGCCTAGGGCACCTGCCAGAGAAAGCCAGGTCTGGACAAACCCGCACAGACCCACACAGAACACCAAGGGCCTACCTGAGCGCACACAGCAACACCTATATTTCAGAGCTGACCCCTCCCAGCCCTCTTGCCGGGCACCTTGTCTGGGCTTGGCCCTGAGGAAAGCTTCCACTAACTCCCGTCAGGTTACATCCCTGACCTAGCCACGCCCCCAAATAAAATGACAGAGCCACGCCTGTACCACAACCCTAAGAAATCCTCATATTGACCAACACCCACCTCCACCACACCACACCCCCCACCCCCACACCCCCGTCTTATGGCACATCCTGGCCACGTCCACCAACTCCCTTGATCACCCCAGCGCTTTTCTTTTGCCACGCCCACTTGCAAGCGTCCAGCCCTCGGAAAAGCTCCCTCTTCCCCACGGCCCCGCCCGCTCGGCTGTTCCACTTAGCCCCACCTCCTGCTCCCCCCCCTTCCGCGTTCACGTGCCGCTCCGCTCCCCAGCCCCGCCCCCGCGCTCCCCTCCCCAGCCCCGCCCCCGCGCTCCCCTCCCCAGCCCCGCCCCCGCGCTCCTACGCAGGGCTCCGCCCCCCTTCCTGCTAATGCATGCCCCGCCTTCACTGCTTGGCCACATCCCCCTCTCCCTGGCTCGGCTCATTCCCGGCCCGGCACCCTTTACCTGGTACTCTGTCTCCAGGCTTGCGTTGGCCGGCGCGGACTGGTAGAAACACTGCTTCCTCCCCGCAGGCAGCAGAAACGTGAACTCGCCGTCCTGGATAGGTGCGGGCCCTGCCCCTCCCACCCCCACTGGCGGCAGTAGTAGCCACAGGGCCAAGGCTAGGGCCGCACCGGCCGCCATCATCCGGGTCACCCTCGAGTTTGCTAACGGGTCGCGGCTCCTTTAAAGGCTAGCCCTGCCCACGGCGGTACACGGCAGAGCTCATTGGCAGTCGCTTCTGCCGGTTGTCCAAATCCAGCGGAGGCCAGTGAAGGACCCCGGGAGCCTAGCAGCCCAGATGGATGCCTGATGCACCTGAAAACACGCCACATTTTAGGGATTTCCCTCGAAAGGCCGCCAGCCCTGGTTTCTTATGTCACTGGTGGCGGAGGGTGGCAAAAGTAAATACCATGATGTTTTATTTCTTTCAGGCAAAAGTTACGACAACTATGGCAGAGATTGCTAGGTCCTTCTAAGGCGCCTCCTTGCGGTTTTCCCAGAGTACGCCGCGCGCGACGACGGTTAGGCAATCCAGCCTGGATGGGGCGGGCCCCAAAATTGAGACTGGGCGTGGCCCTGCACGCGACCTGTAGCATCCGATATTAAAAAGGCTCAGCTGGGGCAGGTAGCAGGCCTTTGATAGTCACGTGGGCGCTTCCTGTTCTTCCAGGTGTGAGCTTGGCACCAGATTCGACACCCCCCCCCACCCCCACCCCCGACACCTCATTCCCCTTGCGTCTTAGAACCATCACTTAATCCGTTTCCTCGTCTGTAAATTGGAGGTGATGGAACTACCACCCCCCGTAGAACGATTGTGAGAATTAAGTGAAATTAGCCCTAGCTCTTGCTGAACCCTGGGTTTTCCTTATATAGAGAGGCTAGAAGGCCCACCCTGCAACCCAGGGTGTTCCAACTCTGGGGGACAGCGGGTGAAGTGATTGAAGTTGGCCTGGGGTAAGGTTAGAGAAGAGAGGTGGGAGTGTGGCTGGAGAACCTGAGTGCCTAGTTCAAGACACTTGAGGGAGTCACCCTGCTGGGACTCAGTTTCCTCACCCCTAGAACCAGGGTGATACTAGGCTTACATCAATGGGCTGTTGTAAAGATTACATGAGATAGTACTTGTTTAGTGCTTAGTGCATCATAGACCCTTGGAAATATTATCTCTTCTAATTCCAGGTTTACGCCAGCCATTGGGCAGCCTGCCCTTTGTCTGTTTAGAGAATTTGGAAGCAACCTCCCTTTGGGAAACAGACACATAAGCCAAAGACACTAGAGAAACAAACTGCTTCGTGATTATGTCTAAACGTAAGAAAAAAAATATTTAGACGGGAAGTTTGAGTCTTTAAAGATAGCCTGAGAGAGGTTGTCAAGTGGTGAAAATTACTATACAAACACAGCTGGTGACTGTCAGCTCTTTCCTGCATTTGGAGAGTTTGGGGAAGTAACACCACTCTGTAAAGACAAAGTTTATGGTTGACTTTGGTATTCCTTTCTCTCCAACTTTTTCTGTCATTCAGATTCTATGCTCGGACACTTTGCAGTAGCTGCAGAAAACGGGTGAATGGGTGATTTCCCCCCCCACACCTTTTTTTTTTTTTTTTTTTTTTTTGCATAGAACAACCAGGGTCTAGGCCAGAGGTGGCATGGGGGGAAAAGGATCCACTAGAGGCAGAGTGGGGAGCAGAACAGGCAGCTCCACTGAAATACACTGCTAAGGGGAACAGCAGACAAAACAGGAGAAATGCTGCCTCAGGTGGACCAGCTCCCTGGCCAGGGATGGAACCCAGGCTGCAGTGGTGGTAGTGCTGAGACTTAACCCTCAGGCCACCAGGGAGGCCCCAGTTTCCCTTTTCTTAATGGATTTTTTTAAAGATAGATTTTTATTTATGCATACAAGAACTGGGGTGTAGGCCAGAGGTGTGGGGAGGGGATGAGAGGATTCACCAGAGACAGTGGGGAGCAGAACAGGCAGATCTACTGAAATACACTGCTGAGGGGAGCAGCGGGCGAGACAGGAGAGGTCTGCCGCACCATGTGGGTCAGCTCCTTGGCCGGGGATTGAACTCATGCTGCAGTGGCTGGTGAGAGCTTGATATCACTGAGACTTTAACCCCTATGCCACCCGGGAGGCCCTCATCAATGGATTTTTTTTTGAAGTTTTATTTATTTATGCATACAAGAGATGGGGTGTAGGCCAGAGGTGCAGGGGGTTAGAGGATTCACCAGGCAGAGTGGGGAGCAGAAAAGGCTGATCTACTGAAATACACTGCTGAGGGGAGCAGTAGGTGAGGCAGGAGAGGTCTGCTGCGCCATGTGGGTTAGCTCCTTGGCCGGCCTGGGATCAAACTGGTGCTGCAGTGGTTGGCGATAGTTTGACAGCACTGTCCCCAACCCCTGTGCCACCAGGGAGGTCCTTAATGGATATATTTAATGAGGATAAATTCACACATAATGGTTACATAACCATTTCTTTCTTTTTTTTTTTTTTTAAAGATTTATTTATTTATTTATTTATTTATTTTATTTATACAAGCACTGGGTACAGTCAGAAGCGTGGGAGGGTGAGAGAATTCACCAGAGCCAGAGCGGGGAGCAGAGCAGGCAGAAGGACTGAAGTACACTGCTGAGGGGAGCAGCGGGCGGCAGGAGAGGCCTGTGCGCCATGTGGGACCCTCCTCTGGTGGCAGGGGAGCAGCTGGGGAACAAATCGGCGCTGCAGAGGCTGCGGGCAGTTTCGCAACCCAGTGCTCAACCGCTGTGCCACCAGGGAGGCCCCCATTTCATTTTTAAAATGAACCATTCAGTGAAGGAAGCATTTAGTAACATTTAGTACATTCACAAGGCTATATAATCACCACTTCTGCCTACTTCCAAAGAATTTTCATCAGCCCTCCAGGAAATCCTCTACCCATTAAACTTATGCCTCTTTCCCCCTTCACCCCAGCTTTTGGCAATTGCCAGTCTGCCTCTGTAGATGTACTTATTCTGAATAGTTCGTATAAATGGAATACCTGACATTTCTGTCTGACTTCTTTCCTGTAGCATGTTTTGGAGGTTCATTTCCCCTGCCATGAATCAGCCTTTAATTCCTTTTTTTATGCTTCTTTATTTTATTTCACTTGTTACATAAATACATGGTATTTTGTAATTTGCAAAATGTTAAAACTAAGCGAGACATCATATATAAACTTCAAAAGGTTACTCTGCCTTTAATTCCTTTTGATGACTGAATAATATTTCGTTGTGTGGATATGCCACAATTTATTATTCCATCTGCTGATGGACATTTGAGTTTTTTTTACATTTTTTAAAAGATTTATTTATGCATACAAGAGCTGGGGTACAGGCCAGAGGTGCGGGGAGTGAGAGGATTCACCAGAAACAGAGTGGGGAACATAACAGGCAGACTGACTGAAATACACTGCTGAGGGGAGCAGCGGGCAAGACAGGAGAGGTCTGCTGGGCCATGTGGGTAGCTCCCTGGCCAGCTGGGGGATCAAACTCGTGCTACAGGGGCTGCGGACAGCCCCCTAGGCTGCGTCTCAACCCCTTGTGCCACCAGGAAGACCCTGTTTTTACATTTTGGCTATTGTGAATGAACAATGCTGCCATGAACATGTGTGTATGTGTATTCGCTTGAATAGATATTCAAAAACTGCTTTCAGTTCTTTTAGGTACATATAAGTAGAATTGCTGGATGATGTGATAAGTCTGTGTTGAACTTTTTGAGGAAATGCAATACTTTTCCCCATGACTGCACTCATCACACTTAGTTTCTAGTTTATTTTTATTGCAACAATTTTAGTTTATTTATTTATTTAAAAGATTTTGTTTATTTATTTATTTATACAAGCACTGGGTACAGTCAGAAGCGCGCGAGGGTGAGAGAATTCACCAGAGCCAGAGCGGGGAGCAGAACAAGCAGAGTGACAAAGTACACTGCTGAGGGGAGCAGCGGGTGGCAGGAGAGGTCTGCGTGCCATGTGGGACCCTCCTCAGGTGGCCGGGGAGCAGCCAGGGATTGAACAGGTGCTGTAGAGGCTGCGGGCAGCTTCGCAAACCAGCGCTCAACCGCTGCGCCACCGGAGAGGCCCTGCAACAATTTTAATGAGTTTTAAGTAATATCACATAGTGATTATGATTTATGTTTCCATAATGATGTTAAGCATCTTTTCATGTGCTTGTAGATCATTTGCATATGCCCTTTGCAGAAATGTCTATTCAAGTCTTTTGCCCATTTTCAAATTGGGTTTGTTTGTCTTTTGGTTGCTGAGTTATAAGATTACTTATATATTATGGAGAGAGGAAAGAAAAAAGAAACAATGAAAAAAGTCTCAAACTCTTTGCAGATCTATGCTAGGGTACTCTTTCCTTCTATCCTTCTTCTTCAGGGCACTAACCACTTGCCTTAGCTTTCACTTTCTGTTTGCCCTGAAACTAAAGATCAACCAGAGATGAAAACTCAGAGTCTTCTCAGCACTTGTCCTGCCCTTAGTATGTACATTGCTTTCTAAATTTCCCACTATGTGAACATGTCTAATTACTCACCTTTCCTTCCCACCTCTTGGCCTGTTCATTATTGCTGCTCCCCTCCCCAGGAAACTGTGAGCTCCTTTGCCTGAGATGTTTTCCAAGAAAGCATTCTGAACTAAATGGACAAGCACCTTGAGTCAGTTGTCAGATTATTTCCATGGTAGAACACAGACACAGCTTCAAGAGGAAGACTGCTCCTGGGGCCCAAGAGTCCCATAATAGTAACAGAGACTCTGCTGTGCTGCAGAATGAAGAAAGCAAGGGCAGGGAAAACACTACAGATCTTTCCTGCCATGTTCAAGTTCCCTGGTGAATGAGCATTGGATTGACTGGTATAAACCCTTGGTTATTTTCCAGAGATTGGACAAAGTTGATTCTGATTGTTTTGCTTGATTTGCGGGTTGAGGGAAAGGCCCTTGGAGCTACCACAGTTTTCAATGATATCTGAGGCCTCAATGGTTGATTCTTGTTTCCCTTGGTTAAATAAAAGCTCTCATCTTCAATTGTTCAACAATCTTCACAGAGTTTTGGTTTTTTAAAAAGATTTATTTATTTATGCATACAAGAACTGGGGTACAGGCCAGAGGTGCAGGGGATGGGAAGATTCACCAGAGACAGAGTGGGGAATGGAACAGGCAGACTGACTGAAATACACTGCTGAGGGGAGCAGCAAGTGAGGCAGGAGAGGTAGCTCCCTCGCCAGGGGGCATGGAATTTGTGCTGCAGATGCTGCGGATAACTTCACAGTGCTCTACTTAACCCCTTGCGCCACTAGGGAGGCCCTTCACAGAGTTTTTGATACTGAATAAAACTCTTCGTGGTGCTGTCACCTCAGCATGGGAGTCAAGATTGTACACAAGTTTAGCACTAAGGTAGGTAGTCAGAGGCACTAAGGAGTAATGCTAGGTGGTAGGTGGATGGGTGGCTTGGTTTGCTTGGGAGTCAGGGAAAGCTTCCCTAAAGAGATGACATTAAAGCTCAGAATTGAAGTAGAAGGGAGAGGAAGCATACAGAACAGTTCCCTGCGGTGAGAGGATTCTCAGAGGGTTCCAGGGGCAAAAAGGAACCAGGGTAGAGGTAAGAGGAGCAGCCAGAAGAGAGACAGGAGCAATTAGCAGAGGTCACATCAGGTAGGATCCATCTTCCCATTGTAACATTGGCCTAGAATCCTTAGTGTGATTTTCTTACAACCATAGGGAGTTTGCAGACTGACTTCTGGGGGGCAGAAATCCCCTAAAATTATAAGCAAAAAATTCCAATAATATGTTCCAGAAAGTTTGTCCTGACCCCCAGAGCTATTCTCTATCCTTTCCTGCACCACTCCATGCCCCAGAAACTGGTCACATACTAGTCACCCTGGCTGCCTATTCCTTTCACTTCTAGTTAGGTTTGGCTCTGGTAGGAGATCTGAGGGGAAGGAGAGGAAGTTCTGTTTCCAACCCTGTTGGTCTGCATCTCTGCCAAAGCCTACCACTCCAACCCTTTCCAAGTTCCAGGACCACTTCTTCCCCAGCAACTTCACACCTAGACCGTTGACAGCTCCCTGACTCCAGGGATTCACCATCCCCTGTTGATCTCTCACCACCCTGTCCATGAATTCTCAGCCATGCCTCTGCCAGGTACCACCTGTGTGATAGCTGACTAATACACGTATGTGTGGCTATTTACCTGAATTCAAAATTCCAGTTATAGATTCTTCCATGTTAAATGCTCCCATGATGAAGTCCCTACATGCATCAAGACCCTTCACACATATTGTTCCCTTAATCTAAAATATACTTCCTCCATCGCTTCCAACTTTTGGAGTCAGAGATCACCTCCTTTCAGAAGCCCTGAGCCTGCTGGGCCTGCTGAAACTGGGTCAAGAACCCCCCTCAGTGACAGCTTCTGTCATGGCACTTTACCACCTGAACTCCCACTCTGATTCTCTGACCAAACTCTGAACTCCTTCAGGGAAGAGCTGTTTCATTTATTGCAACATCCCTGGCACCTAATAAATACATTTCTGTGCTTGGTGACACTCAGTAAACAGTCGGTGGAATAAATAAACCAGGAATATCTCTTAACTTTGCTTTTTTAAAAAAGATTTTTTTAAAAAGAGGTCACAGGGCCTCCCTGGTGGTGCAAGGGGTTAAGACACAACCTATGAAGCTGTCTGCAGCCTCTGCAGCATGAGTTCTACCCCCGGCCAGCCAGGGAACAGCCCACATGGCGCAGCAGACCTCTCCTGTCTCTCCCGCTCCTACCCTCAGAGTGTATTTCAGTCAATCCACCTGTTTTGTTCCCCACTCTGTCTCTGGTGAATCCTCTCACCCGCCACACCTCTGGCCTGTACCCCAGCTCTTGCATGCATAAATAAATCTTTAAAAAAGAAATTAAAAAGAGGTCACATCAGGTCACATATTTATTTATGCATACAAGAATTGGAGTCTAGGTCAGAGGTGTGGGGGGGTGAGAGAATTCACCAGAGACAGAATGGGGAGCAGAACAGGTGGCTCTATTGAAATACACTGCTGAGGGGAGCCTGAGGCTCCATATGGGTCAGCTACCTGGCTGGGGATTGAACTCATGTTGCAGTGGCTGGCAATAGCTTGATAGCACTGAGACTTTAACCCCTGTGCCACCAGGGAGGCCCTATCTCTTAGCTTTGTCTCCTACACACCCAGTACACAGTCACAAAAATAGATTGAATAAATGTTCCTTTGCTTTCAGGTCAGACTATCCCAAAACATTTATGGTTGTCTGTGTGCCAGGCAGGGTGGTGAGCACTCGGAAACTGCAGGACACAACACAGGTCCTGCACTCCTGGAGGAAGAGAGCTGGATGAAGTCTATACATTCACATTTGTTCTGTGAACTAACTTGTTTACAGAATATTGTGCCAGACAACTGCAGAGTATACTTTCATTTCAAGTGCTATAGAATATAGATCAAGATGTGCTGGGCCATTAAAAATATGTTTCAAGGTATTAAATTATGTGGAGTATAGTCTGACCACAAAAGGATAAAAAAAATCACTAACAGGGCCTCCCTGGTGGCGCAGCGGTTGAGCGCTGGGTTGCGAAGCTGCCCGCAGCCTCTGCACCGCCGGTTCGATCCCCGGCTGCTCCCCAGCCACCAGAGGAGGGTCCCACATGGCGCACAGACCTCTCCTGCCGCCCGCTGCTCCCCTCAGCAGTGTACTTCGGTCCTTCTGCCTGCTCTGCTCCCCGCTCTGGCTCTGGTGAATTCTCTCGCCCTCCCGCGCTTCTGACTGTACCCAGTGCATGTATAAACAAAAAAAAAAAACCAAAACCAACAAATAAATAAATAAAACTTGCCTCTATTAAAAAAAAAAAAAATCACTAACAATAATCTTCCCAAAAAAGCCTAAATACTTGCAAACTAAGCAACACACTTCTAAGTAAGTTTCTAAATAACCATTGGTCATAGAATAAATTCACAAGGGAAATAAAATATTTCTAACTTAATGAAACACAATATATCAAAACTGTGAGATACAGTTAAAGCAGTACTTAGAAAATTATAACTGTAAATGCTTTATCAGAAGATAGAAGTCTAAAATCAATGATCCAAGCATCCATCTTAATAAGGTAAGAAAAAGAAAATGGATGAAGCATGAGGTAACTCAAAAGAGAGGAAAATAATATATATAACAAAAAAAAAGTGAAACAGAAAATAGAAAAAAAAAGCCAAAAATTGGTACTTTGAAACAACTAATAAAATTGATTCACACGCACAAAAATTAATGCACATTGAACAAGACTAATCAAAAAAAAAGAGGGGAAAAAAATCTACTGTTATTAGGAATGAATGAGGGGACGTCACTACAGGCCCTACAGGCATTAAAAGAAATATAAACAGTTTTATATCAACAAATTTAAAAAACATAGATGAAATAAACAAATTCCTATAAAACAGGAGCATGCTAATTGCAATCAAAGAATATTAACAAGGCACTCTTAATAGGATTAAGCAAGATTTGTCTAAATTCAAAAGGATATTAAAAGGTTTCCCAGAAGTGATTTTTTTTCTTTTAAGATTTTATTTATTTTTGCGTAGAAGAACAGGTGTACAGATCAGAGGTGCAGGCAGTGAGAGGATTCACCAGAGACAGAGTGGGAAACAGAATAGGCAGACTGACTGAAATACACTGCTGAGGGGAGCAGCGGGCACACAGGAGAGATCTGCTGCGCCATTTGGGTAGCTCCCTGGCTGGCCTGGGATCAAACTGGTGCTACAAGGCTGCGGATTGCTTCATAGCACTATGCTTAACCCCTTGTGCCACCAGGGAGGCCCCAGAAAGTGATATCTAAACTGAGGACTGAAGAAGTGGGATTTGACTAAATTGATAGGATTGTATCTTAGGCAGGGGAAAGTTGGAATGAGCTGTATGTTTCCCTCCCCCCCCCCCAAAAAAAAAGGCCACTCTAATGACACTTTTTGGCATTTGGTGACTACATGCTTGTGCCGTTTCTGTGTATAAACTGCCAGGTGAACCTGCTTGAGTTGAACAGAAATGTTTAGAGAGACCAAATCTAACCTCTTGCTGAGATAGGCCTTTGGAAGTTTCTGGGCTGTAAATGGGAAACAATTTGTCCTGCAAAGTATACCATTTCCTCATTCTGGACCTAGTGTTCTCTTTCACCTGGTAGGTGAAACTCCTATGATTTTTCTTCCCTGGATCTCCACATAGGCATCATTCACACCGCACTGGATATTGCTCTTCATACTATGAGTTCTTTGTACCTAATGTCTGCTACTCTTAGTCCCATTCTACACAGCAGCAATCTGAAGCTTCAAAGGAGGGCCATGGTTTGCCTGAGATCACAGAGGCCAAGCCCTAGCTGCCAAGCCCTACCACCCTCCAACTGCATGCATTTCAATTTGGGCACTGGTTGGGCTGCAGTTTGTGTCTCTGGCATGGGTTTCCCAAGCAGCTCACTGCCGTTGTTCTTGCTCCTACTGAGATATCCTCTCAGGGGGAGGAAATAATAAACATACCATCTCATCCATCTGTCCCTCCCATCCGCAGCACCATGACCACTGAGGTGCAAAAATGTGGCAGGATCTGATGTGCATTTGTGAAAGGGGTGGAGAGAGGAGTGAGTCCCTTTCAGCACCCTAGTATGTGTGTGCAACTTCCTGCCAGTGAGGAAACACTCTGCCAGAATCAGTCCTGCTTCTCTTTTCCCTGTTCTGGCCTCACAGGAGAAGTTGGTGGTGAGCCTTGGGCCACACTGGCCTCAGCCAGATTTCCCAGTCAAATTCGTGAGGAGACATGCCTTGGACTGTCCTGATCTTTGCAGCTGGTGAGCCTGATGCCCCCTGTGCTATCCCTGCCCTGCTTCTTCCCTCCCCCTGGCCTCTGCTCTGGGGGCAGAAACCATGGCAGGGTTACCCTCCCAGAAGCTAGAGGCTGAGCCCTAACATATTTTCCTAAGAGCCTTAGAAATGCCTCAGGAGCATCATTTCCTTTTGTCAGGCTCCCCATCACCCCCATGGTGAAGAATATCAGAAATACCAAGCTACGGGAGACGGTAGAATCCACACCCCATGATTCAGGCCTGGTCTCTGTAAGCTCCTGTCTCCCAGGCTGGGGTACTAGGAAGATCTCCTTGGAGTCAAGTGGAAACTGGACAAGGGAAGGCTTATACAGACCTAACCTGAGCCAGACACTCTGCTCAGGACCGTGGGGTCCCTCCTACGAGGAGCAATAATACCCTGAAATCCTCTTTCTTCACCATGGCCTGGGAAACAAGATAGAGCCTCTGTCTGTCTGGTCCCTCTTTCTGCTCCCCCTCTCACTCACCACCTTCAGACACCCTTGTTTCCTTGAACACCCCACGCCCCTTCCAGCCTCCTGGCCTTTACTATGCCATTCCCTCTGTGGAATGCTCTTCCCCCAGCTCTATGTTACCTTGGGGAAACTTTCCATGGTTGCCCCAACCACTGCAGGCTTCCCATTACCAGGTCTGATGAGCTCTACGGCAGTTTGTGTCTCCTATAGAATGCCCGCCACCCAAAGCAGGCTCTGTCTCCTATCTCAGTCACTGCTCTGTCCCTAGCACTTAAAACGGGGCCTGGCACATCACTGTTGGGTAAGGATCACTACTTTCCAGTTATACATAAAAAACAAGGACCAGAGAGGGTGAGCTACTTGCCCAAGGCCACACATCCAGGTCAGCCTCTGCTTTAACCACCCACTCACCGCACCTCCTTCACTCTATACCTAGGTTCCTTGGCGATTCCAGCACCCTCCATCCTGTTGGTGCCCCCCCATCCCAGCAACCAAGAGGACCCCATCCATATCTCATGTATGGCCCCCGGGGGCTTCCCAGGGGCAAACTTTACACTGTATCGTGGAGGGCAAGTGGTCCAGCTCCTACAGGCTCCTGCAGACCAGCTCGGAGTCACCTTCAACCTGAGTGGTGGTGGCAAGGAAGCTCCAGGGGGCACATTCCAGTGCCAGTATGGTGTGCTTGGTGAACACCGCCAGCTGCAGATGTCAAACTTCAGCGAGTCCGTGCAGGTCTCCTTCCCAGGTAAAGCCCTCCCATCGACCCTAACCATCAAGGGCTCCATTTTCTTATCCCCAAGGCTTTGCATGTGCTGTTCCCTCACTTTGGAAGTGGTCACAGGATGAGCCAGGTTTCCAACTTACCAGGAATTACTTTCCTTTTCTAGTCCTCAGACACCCCATGCCATGGCCACAGCCATTCTCCCTTTTGCAGATAAGGGAGTTGAGGTATAAGAGATGAAGGGACTCCCCCATATCACAGCGCTAGCAGGTGGCAGAGCTAGCCTCCTTATTCTTCTGTGTCCTTCCTTCCCGGCCACATGACATTTTTGAACCCCTGCTACATCCCAGGCATTGTCATTGGTGGTGCAGGTTAGCTAGTGAGTGAAAAGGTCCTGCTGTTTTGCAGCTGACATTCTGGAGTGGTGGACACAGATGATAAATAAAGAGTCCAAGAAATACAGTCACATGGAGTTCAAAGACTGGAGATCTTTTGAGAAATGCATTAGGTGATTCTGTCATTGTGCGAAGTCACCAGTAGCAGTGGATTTTGTATGGTTAGGGGTCGTTGAGGAACAAACAGCATCATATTAAATCAAGCCCAAGGGGACTGATGCTATTGAGACATTTGGTAAGAGATGTATGAGGCTGCTGCTGGTGGGGAAATGTTAGGATGTCACAAAGTCATAACAGTAGGACGATGTGGTTCGTCACTGACCAACATGTCGTTATTCCTTGCATGACCATATTCTGTTGTTTCAGAGGGGCAAGCCAAGTGCCAAGGATGAAATACTGCCTGGTGGGGTGTCATTTTAGAGAGAAGAGTGGCTCTTCTCTTTGAGCAAAGACCTGAATGATGAGGAGAAACCACTAATGAGGGTGTCTAGGGCGAGTGTTCCAGGCAGACTGAGCAGTCATACAAAGGCCCTGAGGCTGAAGTATACCTGGTGTATCTGAGGAACAGGGAGACACCCTGTAAAGATTGAAATGTGGTGAAAATGGGGGATGATGCGGGCCTGGAAGTGGCAAGGAGATTTGTGCAGGGTCCCCTGGCTGTAGCAAAGACTTGGGCTTTCTCTCAAAGTGTTACTGAAACCCTGGGAGGAGAGAGGAGTGGGTATGCACTCTGGATTTCATATTTTGGGGGAGGGAATGGCCTCCAGATGTAGCCTCTGAATCACTAGCAATCAGAACTTTCCTGCTGCAAAGAGAACTTTGTTGCCAGCAAAGGCCCACATGTTACAAGGACACAGTGGTCTCTGTGTCCTTCCCAGCCAGCCTCATACTCCACTCTTAATGGTGCCTTCTCTCACCTGGATCCTGTGGCCTCATAATGGAGAGGTGGCCACAACTCTTCTGCTCCAGATGAATGAACAAAGACTAGCATTGTGAGAATACCCAGCATGCTTCTTTCCTTCTCTCTCCTGGTTAAGCTCCTGATCTCCACTGGGGTCAGAATTTCCCTAAAAGACCCCCTCTTTCTCCAGGGAGGGATACCTGATTCTTTTTCGCAGATAAATAAACTGTGGATTTGGGTCTTCATGTTTGTAGTCTGACCTCTGCCTGAGCCTCAGTGTCCACTGTGTGGCTGGTTGCAGATGTTGGCTCGCAGTACTCTTCAGACTGCAATTAAGTGAAAACTTGACTCAAATTGGCTTCAGCAACAGAAGGGGATTTGTTGTTTTACAGAAGTCATTTCATAGTCTGACTTTAAGCATGGGTGGATCCAGGTGCACAAAGATACCAGGAATGATTTGCTACCTTTTGGCTGTGCTTTCTACTGTGTTTCATTCTCAGGCAGACCCTCCCCCTCATGGTGACAAAATCATGAGCAGAAGTTTTAGATGTGTATCTTCCCAGCTTTTTAATGCTGGCCAGAAGAGTAAATTTTTTCCCCAGTGGTCTAGCCAAAGACCCAAAGTAAGCCCGCCTTGGCTCAGCTTCTGTCACATGCCTAACCCTGAGCCTATCACAATGAACAGGGGAAGGAATATGATAATCAGCCTAACAAGGTTTGCCAGAGTCCTCAGGGCCCAGCTACACCAAAGCCACCTGGTTGGGGGCATTGCGGGGGTGGGGGTGGGTGGGGGGGGGTGTTGGGGGGGGTGGTGTTGGGGGGGTGAGAGGGGGGTGGAGGGGGTGGAGTGGGGGAAGGTAAACTGGAGAGATGACAGGTCTCCTACCTTCTTGCAACCCCACAGCTCCACGACCTGCTCACTCTCTCTTTTCCCATTCTCCTCTAGTGCCCACCTGGATCCTGGCACTGTCCTTGAGCCTGGCTGGCGCCTTTCTCCTCCTTGCGGGGCTGGTGACCGTTGCTGTGGTGGTCAGAAAAGGTAACTGTAGGCAAAGAAAGCATGGTCCACAGGCTGCCAGTGTGCAGCTCCTGGAGTGTATAAATGTACTCACACACCCATGTTTTTACTTGTTGTTTTTCACATCAATTTTAGATGGTTTGGGAAGGTCTTACTCCAAATTTAGCAGGAAAGAGCCCCCCAGAAATGCAGTGATGGTAGTGGGCAGAGGAAATACATATTTTTTAATATGGTAAAATGGACATAACATAAAATTTACCATTTTAACCCTTTGTTTTACCACCCCTCCACACCATCTTTCTCCAAACTCTTTCGTCTTACCCAGCTGAAACTCAGTTCCCATTAAACACCAATTTCTCTCTCACCTCCTCAGCTTCTGGCACACACTGGAAATAATACTTTTAAAAAACCACCCAGTTTTATTTTCTTGCAAATTGTTTGATGTTTTTACCAATGCACATGACTCGTGTAACTGCAGGGAGAGGAGGCAGGGGAGAAGGTGAGGGTGGCAGTAAGTGTCCAGTGAGGGGCAAATTGTCAGGGGTGAAGGCGAGGTTGAGTGGCAAATGAATGAGGGGTGCTTTCTGTTTTTTGGCTTTTAGACTCTTGCAACAAAGACCAAAATCTAACCAATGCATATTTATATTTTGTTTCCAGTTAAAGTTAAAAAATTACAGAAGAAAAGGTGAGACCTTCTCTGGAGACCCTCTGAGCGTCATTTTTGGGGAAGAAATGCTCAGTCTGCAGGAAGGAGTTCTGTCCTGAAGGGTGTTGCACCCAGACAAAAGGGACTTCCCTGACTAGGTGGAGGAACGATCCCAAACAGCATCCCCCAGCGGGAAGGGCCGCTTATTAGGAATAGATGCTTTTGATGAAGCGCCCTCTGCGCTCTGAATCCCGCTCTGGAAGCAGTCCCTGTAAATAACACTTTACAGCGAGGAGACTAAGACTTGGCGCACAGTCACACAGGGAACAAATTGCTGAGTCTTTTTTTTTTCTTTAAGATTTATTTATTTATGCATACAAGAGCTGGAGTACAGGCCAGAGATGCGGGGGTGGGGGGTGAGATGAGAGGACCCACCAGAGACAGATTGGGGAGCAGAACAGGTAGATCCACCGAAATACACTGCTGAGGGGAGCAGCAGGTGAGTCAGGAGAGGTCTACTGTGCCATGCGGGTTGCTCCCTGTCTGGGTGGGCCGGGATCAAACTCCTGCTGCCGAGGCTGGGGATTGTGGTACTTTAACCCCTTGTGCCACCAGGGGAGCCCAAATTGCTGAGTCTTACAACCCTTTACCACTGGCTGGCTGCCCAAAATTGTCATAATCACTCTAGAAGGGATTGGTGACGCCCCCTGTGTTGCAGGATGCCCAACTGGCAACCTGGTGGAGAGCTAGCAGCAACTGCAGGGATCAAAATCTGCAGCTCTAGAGAGAATTTCCATCCCTTAGTCTTCCTGAGTGGCACTGAGTGGTGCTGGGGATTCTGAGCATGGGAAGGGATCTGCTCACAGAAATCAGAGTTTGCCCTGTGCAAGCACTTATGGGGAGAATTCCAGTGCGGGTGGAGAGTGAGGGTCAAATTTGGAGTGGGGGCTTCCCAGAACAAGCTTTTTGCCTTATCAGTCAACCCCAGTGAGTGTTCATTTTCTCTGGTATCCATTTGCAGAGAGCGAGAATCCTGCTGGGCCCAGATTAACTTCGCCAGCACAGGTTTGTGCCCCTCCTCGTTCCTGATACCCTACAGGGCAGGGTCACCGCCTCAAAACACCATCAGGTCTCATTACTTGTTACTCATATCTCTTTGTTGTCACTCTCAGCCTTAGGGTCAAGAACACATCCTTCCCCACTCTTCCCCACTGCTTCCTCGCTAAGGTTCACCTCTCACCTCCTCACCTCTCCTCACCCTCAGGACCCTTCACACATTCTCCTTCTGTGCTTACAACACTCTTCCTCCCTCGGCCTCAGTCTAAAGGCAGCCTCCTCTAGGAAGCCTTTCCTGACTCCATTGCCAGAGGCTGTGCTTTCTAGGACCTGATCCCTCTCCCACCGCTCAGCTCTGCAGGGGACGCACCCGGGCTGTGCAGTCCCTCCGGTCTTTCATGGTGTCTCACACCCTCCTTCAACTGGAGCCCCTAGCGGCTCCGAATGTGTTATTCTGATGACCTCCAGCAGGGGGCAGCGGCAGCCAGTCTGCGGTGTGTCAGGCACTGTGAAAAGGTACCGAGTTGTCAGACTGTTCTCTGTATTTCCTCCACTATCCCACACATTTACTGAGCACCAATTAGACTCAATAAATGTGTGGGACAAGATCTGGGAGGGGTGTTCCACGATGACCAAGACAGAGGTGACCTCTGTCCACAAGGCCATCCGTACTCCAGTGGGGAAACAACTGATGGTGGGCTGGATCCCTTGTGGACCTAGGAGGGGAAGTGTTCAAGCAGAGACCTGCTGGAGGAGCAGGGAGTAGCTGGGTGATTGTGGGAGAGCCTAGGGTGGTGGAGTTGCTGAGAGGTGATCCAGAAAAGCTGCAGTGTGAGCGTGAGCAGCTTTTTAAATTGAAATGGGTGACTCATTTTCCCCCGGGAGTAGGGGGTGTGTGTCAGTGAGAAGCCCCTGAAGGGAGGATTCTGAGCAGTTCATGGTGCACCTGTGCATAGGGCCCCTGAAGAACTGACTGGGAGGGAGCACAGAGGCTGCTAGGAGATGGGACCCTTGCTCTTCCTCAAGGCTGACTTGGGGTGGGAGTGCTTAGAGCAAGGCAATAGGAGAGCAGCAAGCTGGGAATTTAAATGGCCATGATCCTTTCTCTTTGTTTCAGACATGTCCTTCGATAACTCCCTGTTTGCCATCTCCATGGTAAGTGGTTCTGTTTCTTGGTCCTGGTTTTAATGACTGCACTAGTCATGGGAATTGGGGGCCACCGCCAGGATAGGTCTCTGCACTTTGGGAGCCTGGGACAAGCCCAGAATCACTGAGCAGAGATTTGTTGGTGACATGAGTGTTGGCTCTGAAAAATCCCAGAGTACTGAAGGTGACCTCATCTAGGTCTTTATGTGGCAATAGGCAGGCCACTGCAGGTGATTGCTGTTAGGATCAATGTTCTCCCCCAGAACAGTGACAGGACACTTAGGGCAAGCTGGTAGCTTCTTTCAGATAGTGGAGACTTGTGACAGTCTGATGCACACCAGCCCCTCCAGGTATAAAGGAAAGCCTACTTATACATCCAAGTTCAGGGACTTCAGCTTAAATGTTCCACTTTTTCAGGGGGGAGTTCTCAAGGAGCACCTCCCTGCTCAGTGAGGGGTGTGCCTCAGGTCACACAGTGTCAGGGCTGGGATTTGAATACCATCTGTGAGACTCCTCTCTACAGCTGCATCTTGGGGTGGCCTTGATGTTTATGCTTTTTTTTTTTTTTAAAAAAAAAAAAAAAGTAGAGTTATCTGAGTCATGGATCCCATGGGTCAAAGAAATGTTTAGCTGCCCCTCTCTACACAGAGGGAGGTACAGGGCTGGGGTGCAGGTGACCCCCTTGAGGAGGCCTCAGAGTCCCATTTGGATGAATGAATGCTTCAGGGCTACTGTCAGCGAGCCTGGGGTGGGTGCTTGGGGCACTGTGATGGGGCAGAGGGTGGAGGATGGAGCCAGCTCCACACATCCTTTCTGGATATTTGGATAAAAATAAGACAAGGCCCTCACTTTTTCAGAGCATCTAAATTCTATGGTGGGGAGGGTGGTGGACAGATGAAGACACATGGGGAAGCAGTGACCAGGAAGCACATTTCTCAGTTGGGATAGTCAGGAAGTCTCAGAAATAGGTGGCAGTAGGCAGTTACAGAAGTTTTTCCAGGCTTGGGACATGTTCTTGCCACAGACCAGCTAAAACTGGGATGAAGAAGAGTGAGGAATTGAGAAGAGCCTCAAGGAGAACATTGACTTGATCCCAAGTAAGGTGGGAGCCATGGAGGGTTCTATCAGAGGAATGTGACCCAATTCAGATGCTCATTGGGGCCCCTCTGGCCACCGTGGGGAGTATAGATGACTGAGATTAGGGCACTGATCCAAGCAGGCAAAGTAGTGTGTGGTCTGGTCCAGCATGTTGGCAGCAGAGGTGGAAGACTGCAATGAATGCAAGTCAGAGATATTAAGAAAAACCCAACAGACAGGGCAAGTTCTAAAACTTTCTGTGAGAAGCTGCCCTGCTCAGGTTACCAGCCAGGTGATTTCCCACCACCCCTCTTTTTGTAAACACATTTAAAGTGAAATAATAGAAAACAGAGAAATGCAAGGATAAAAATAATTAATTTTTCTGAATCTTACTCCTGGTGACTTTAACAATATTTTAATATTAGAATTTCAAAATGTAAAATTTTAAAATATGAAATACATCTGTATGTCAAAATTACATATATACGCAACATTTTCTTCTATCATTTAATACCTCTCCAACTGTTACAGAGCAACCCCAATATAAAATGGGTTGCCTAACTGTGGGTCCTGACCCGTGCACGTAAAGGGGACTTATTAATGCTGAACTATAGACACACACAAAAGGTTAATAAAAGGTTTATTTACAAGGGAAGGGGAAATGGGGAAATTAATAACTCAGGGAGAAAAAGAGAGGGATAAGTTCATAAATATAGCCTACCCTTTCCGCTGACCTGGAATCCCCATGACCCACTGAGCTGGCAAAAAACTGAGCACGCTGCGTGGCCAAGAGAGAGACCCCTGGCCACATGGTCAGTTAAATACTCAAACAGAGAACATAGCTGCTTAACTCCGCCCTCAGCTCCTCGCAACCTTTCCTTTGGTGATCATGGGGTTTGTAGTTCCCAGTGTCTTGATGGAGTGGTGGTGGAGTCCACAAAGCCTGTATGGGGTTTGCTCAGGACATCCTTTCCCCCTAACAAAACCTCTTCCTCTACGCATTGCTTCTTGCAGATGCAAAGGTGAAAACAGCATCTCTGTCCTCAGGCTTAAGGTGTTATGCATGTGCACCTGTTCCTGAACAGTGCGTGCAGTGGTCTTTCAGTTTCTTTTCTTTCTTTCTTTTTTAAATTGTGGCAATACCTATAGCATATAAAAGTTACCATTTTAACCATTTTCATTGTCCAGCTCCATGGCATAGCACATTTACACTGTCATGCAACCAGCACCCTCCATCTCCAGAGCTTCCTCACTTCCCAAACTGAAGCGACCACTAAACACAAACTCTTGGCAACCACCATTCTACCCTCTGTCTATTCATCTGCCTGTCCTGGACATTTTACATAGAAATGACACCATACAATGTTCATCATTTTGTGACTGGCTTATTTCACAATATAATGTCTTAAAGGTTTATCCATGTCGGAGCATGTGTCAGGATTTCCTTCCTTCAGAAGACTGAATTATCTGTTGTATGTTTATACCGCACTTTGCGTATTTAGTTACCTGTCAATGGACACCGGGTTCCTTTCACCTTTTGGCCATTGTCAGTCATGTTGCTATGAACATGGATATGAAACAAACCCCTGTTTTCAATTTGTTTATTTTTGAAGTACTGGAAGGCTGTGCTGTTAGCTGAAATAGCAACAAAGAAGAACTCCAACTGACAGCACTCCAGCTTGTACTATGTTACTGTGCTAAGGTTCTATTTTTTAAAAAAGATTTATGTATTTATACATACAAGAGCTGGGGTACAGGCCAGAGATGTGGGGGAGGGGTGATGAGAGGATTCACCAAAGACAGAGTGGAGAGCAGAACAGGCAGATCCACTGAAATACACTGCTAAGGCGAGCAGCGGGTGAGACAGAAGAGGTCTGCTGCGCCTCTTACTGCAGTGGCTGCGGATACCTTCATAGTGCTGTGTCTTAACCCCTTGTGCCACCAGGGAGGCCCTGTGCTAAGGTTCTAGTATTCATTATAAAACATGGTACAAGGTAGAGTTGTGCTATATAGACAGATAGATATAGATACACACGCGCACACAGACACTGAGGAGGATTATGAGCCTTATTGGAGTCATCCACCTAGGGAAGGGTAGGATTGGGAGTGGAGCCCCAGCCAATTGGTACCAACCAGGCTTCAGTTTTAGCAAGTTCATCTTTTCTTGACTGCTGGCATTTGGGGGAGGAGCCTCCAAGGTAGAGAAGAGGATAGATTTTTGAGGGATTCCAGAATGGGAGGAAATTAATAGTAATAGCGTGGTCCATTAGCAAACACTTAGCAATTATGGTGGGACAGGCACTTTACCTATTCAGTTCTTTCTGCCTCCTAGCAACTTGAGGGTCGGGTCCTACTAGCATTGTGCCAAAGGGGAGACTGAGGCACACAAGGGCAAGCACTTGAATGAGGTCATAACAAGTAGGAAGTGCTAGATCTGGGATTTGAACCTAGGCTGTCTGGTCTCGTATTCTGAAAGGAAGATAGGACAACAGAGTAGCTATGTGTGTGTGTGTTTGTGTGTGTGTGTGTTTGTGTGTGTGTGAAGACCTGTTGGTCTGGAAGAGCCTCAGGCTCAGAACATGGTGAAACACTCTATCCTGAAACCCCCCAATCACCTGTTGTCTATTTTTCTTCCATGAACACAGAAAATGACTTCGGAAGAAGACACAGCTACCCTGAATACTCATTCAGGATCCGCTGGGACACCTAGCAATACTGGGCCCCGGAAGAGGCCCACCTCTACGTCATCCTCACCTGAACCACCGGAATTCAGCACTTTCCGGGCCTAACAACAAGGCTAAGTCTTGGGAGTCCCTTTCTCTATGGCGGCGTGCCCTCCATTCAGCCTTCTCCCATGAGGTGGCTGGTCCATGCAGGACCTGAGGTCCCTTCAGCTATTTATGGAGGTCCCTGGCCGCTGCTTTCTCAGGGAATTGAACAGAGAAGATGAAGGGGACCCTTGGCCTTGTGACCTTTCTCAGAGGAGCAGGAGTGGGAGAGGGGATGGATGCTGGACAGAAAGTAGGAAGTCTCTCAAGTCCTAGCATCTCAGACCGCCATGGAAGGAGATGTTAGAATCCCTTCTGGCCCCCAGCTGAGCCATAAAAGATCTGAGCTCTGTACACCACCCCAGTTCCTCACGCCCCACCTGATCCCCCACCTCACCCGATTTGGCCAATGCAATTGGTTTTGGTGCACAGTTTACAGGGATATGTTTTATGTGTCTGTCCTGTTGCCATGCCTAAATTATTATAACACATGCTGAGCTGTTCCCAAGATCTCTGTGGAATGTATCCTGGGACCTCTGGAGTCTAACTGATGGATGCCCGGAGGGTGGGGAAAGCAGCCAGGGTGGTATATGGGGAGGCCAATGGGGGTGTGAAGAGAGGGCCAGTGCCACTAGAGATCTCTGCTAGAATCTTTGCATTGGTGGGTATAGAAGGTGACATGATGTGTGGGGCCAGAGGGACATTGGGGATAATTATTCAATACCACGATCCAGGGTGGTGTGGGAGTTGGGAAGATTGGAAGTGGTTCCAAGCCCCTCTGAAATCCCCGAAGAGAATGGAGCCCAGGAGCACTGAAGGGGAGCTCAGAGGAAATATGGATGTGTGTGTAAAGCAGCAATCGGCCCTATTCTGCTAGATTCACTTGCCAGTCAGGATTGGAAGAAGGAAGAGTAACAGGAGGGTCTGAAAATATTTTCTGGTGGAAAAGACAGTGAAGGGACTAGAATGCAGAAGAAGGGCTTTCTGGGAAGGTGATGGAGATGATGGGGAAGACAGGAGAGGCCTGTGCAAGGAAGGAGGTTATCCCACCTGATCAGGTAAGGGACAGAGGCCTAATCCCACCTCAAACCGCTTTCCCAGGCGGGCAGGGTGGGGTAGCCCAAAGGTTGGGGGCGTGTCCCGATGTCCTGGCTCTCCTCGCTCGGCTCCGGCAGGCCACCAGAGTTTGGCTCCTCACAAAGCGAGTATCGGGAGGAGGGACGAAGGCCGGCATGAGGGCGGGACTCCGACGCGGCTGGACCCCGCCTCTCCGCGTGCTGCTTAACAAAGCCGGGCGGGGTCAGTGGGCGGACCCCAGCCTCAGGGGTGTGTCGGAGATGTCGGGCGTCAGACTTGCCCCCGCCCTTCCCCAGATCCGGAAGCCGTCTCACCAAACGTGCCCGTATGTGGGGGCGGGGCCCGGGGGCGTGCCCGTGTGGCCTAGCACCGCCTCCTCGGCGCTCCCCCCCACTCCGTCTCTGGCCTCCCAAGCGCACCGCCTTACAAAGCGTGGCCCCCGGAGAGGGGCCGAGGAGGGGGCGGGGCCAGCGCCTAGGGGCGTGTCCTCATGGCCCAGCACCGCCCCGTGACGCACACTTCCGTCCCCGCCTTTCCTGGGGCGCGGAGCTACCTCACAAAGCGGCGACCATTCACGCGGGGAGGGGCGGGGCGGGACCGGTCCCGCCCCGCGGTGCCCTCCCGTCCCTCGCCCGGGGCCGCCGGCAGAGGGCGCTGCGCCACGGGCTGAGCCGCGGCGGCGGCAAGGCGGCGGCAAGGAGGCGCGTGGCCGGCAGGCGGCGCTGCCCGGCTCGGCCTCGGCCTCGGCCTGCGCGGCGGCGGCGGCGGCGGCGGCCTGGGCCCGGGCGCGGCGGGCGGCGGCGGCGGCGGCGGCGGCGGCGGCGGGGCCTGGAGCCGGATCTAAGATGGCAGCAGCGGCGGCGGCGGCGGCGGCGGCGGGGCCGGGAGTGGGCGGCGCGGGGGTGGCGGGCCAGGTCGGCGCGGGGCCCTGCGCGGCGGTGTCGGTGTTCCCCGGTGCCCGCCTCCTCACCATCGGCGACGCGAACGGCGAGATCCAGCGGCACGCGGAGCAGCAGGCGCTGCGCCTCGAGGTGCGCGCCGGCCCGGACGCGGCGGGCATCGCCCTCTACAGCCGTGAGTGCGGGGCTCGGGCCGCGCGGAGGGAGGCCGCGCGCGGGGCTGCGCACGAGGCCGGCGGACAGGGCTGGAGGACCCGGGACGGGGGGCCGGGGCCGCGGTGGGGGCCCCGCGGGCGGAGGGCGTGTGGATCCGAGTCGAGGGGAGCCGGGGGGCGGCGGCGCGAGGAGCGCGGAGGGACCGAGGCGAGGGCCGGAGAAAGGAGGCGTGCGCGGGGGCCAGAGGTGAGGAGCCCGGAGTGCGGAGGGAAGCGGGAAATAGGGGAGTGAGTGCCCTGAGATTGGGGGGATGGTGGGCAGGAAGTGGGGGGCCAGAAGTGGAAGGTGAATTCGGAGGAAGCCGGGGTTGTGGGACCTCGGGGGTGGGGTGGTGGGAGTCTGGGGGCGGGTGTGGCTACCCTAGCGGTGAGGGAGCGGCGTGGGCCGCTTCTGGCCACCTCAGGGGAGCCCCCTCTGGACTGCTGAGAGCAGTTGGGAAGCGGTCGTCCTTCTGAAGGACCTGGTTCCACCCATCTGGAGGGTTTGGTGTTCAGGACCCCCAGTGGTAAACTTCTAGATCTGCGGAGAGGGCCCTTGGAGGGTGGTGTGAGCCATTGTATGTGCTCCTAGTGGAAACTTGGATAGGGGGCCTCTTCCAGATGCCCAGCTCCCGAGTAAGAGGTAGCAGCCTCCTCCCCCACCACTGGCCTTTGATCTCCCCTTTTGGGGATGTAACCTGGGTTACATTTTCTGAAGCTAGTTTCAAAACTAAGGTTTCAGTGGAAAAAAATCAGAATGTTTTTGCCAAAGGCACCTCAGTCTTTGTAGTTGATCCATTTCCTTTCTCTTGTTACTCTTCTCTGGTCTCCTAATTCCTGATTCTTGTCCACATTTTGCTATTCTGTTTCATTCAGCTTTGTCTCTTCAGGTTTCTTGCAGGGAAGTTCTGTGGAGCCACTCAGGCGGCCTTTACTGGCATTGGCTTGTGTGAATTTCTTTTGCCATTTTGGGAACAAGGGTCCAAAGGGTGTGAAGCAGATGGTTCACACAGGATTCTCCCTGGACCTCTACTTGGAAAACCCAAACTAAAGAAGCTGTCTCTCTCCCAAGTGTCCAAACTTTTTGCTGGGGGCAAAGCTGGGGCCTTTTTGACCTGATGAGGAAAGGGGAGGAAGGGAGCTCAGGACAGACAATTAAGTTTCATCTTAAGCTTAGTAGGACTGCCTACCTCCACTCTGGATGGTAAGCATGGTCATTCATTCAGCAAGCTTTATCTCTTTTTTAAAAAGATTTATTTATTTGTGCATACAGGAGCTGGGGTACAAGCCAGAGATGTGGGGGGTGGGGAGAGGACTCACCAGAGACAGAATGGGGAACAGAACAGGCAGACTGACTGAAGTACACTGCTGAGGGGAGCAGTGGGCGAGACAGGAGAGGACTGCTTTGCCATGTGGGTTTCTCCCCGGCTTGCTGGGGATGGAATTCGTGCTGCAGAGGCTGCGAATAGCTTTGTAGTGTGGTGCTTAGCCCCTTGCATCACCAGGAAAGCTCTCATTCAGCAAGCTTTATTTTTTTTTTTTTTAAAGATTTATTTATTTATTTTATACAAGAACCTGGGTACAAGCCACATGCGTGGGAGGGTGAGAGGATTCACCAGAGACAGAGCAGGGAACAGAACAGGCAGACTGACGAAATACACTGCTGAAGGGAGCAGCGGGCGGGACAGGAGAGGTCTGCTGCGCCATGTGGGACCCGCAGGCCGGGATTGAACCAGCGCTGCAGAGGCTGTGGACAGCTTCACAGCGCAGCGCTCAACCGCCTGTGCCACCAGGGGAGGCCCTCAGCAATCTTTAATGGGAACAGAATAAAGTAAGGCAGCATTTCTCAAACTAAGGACTCTGGGCTTACTAGCAAAGGAGTTCCGGTAGAGTGGTTTTTTTTTTTTTGTATATGGACTTTTTAAAATTTTTGAACAGTTTCAGATTTATGGAATTATTGGGTAGATGGTGTGGTTATCATATACTCCACACACAGGGTCTCTCGTTCTTAACATCTTACTCCAGGATTTTGTCCAAATTATATTTTGTTGATAGTGTCGACACATTGTTATAAACTTATCTTCTGGAGGTGATTCCTAGCTGAAATATTCATGAAGAGGAGAGAGCCCACATTTCTCAAATAAATCCTCAGTCTCAGAAGGTCTTGTCCTGGGGCCATGAAAGAATTTTTTTTTTTTTGAGCTTTATTTATTTATGTATACAAGAACTGGGGTACAGGCCAGAAGTGCGAGGGTGAGAGGATTCAACAGATAGAGTGGGGAACAGACAGGAAGATTGACTGAAATACACTGCTGAGGGGAGCAGCGGGCAAGACAGGAGAGGTCTGCTGTGCCATGTGGATAGCTCCCTGGCTGGGGATCAAACTCGCATGCGCAGTGACTGCCTATAGCTTCATAGTGCTGAGACTTAACCTCTTGTGTCACCAGGGAGGCCCCTGTATTACTTTCCCAGTTTGATTTGACCAATTTGGTGACTTAAAAAGTCAGGAATGTGTTCTTTCATAGTTTGTGGCCAGAAGTGAGATCAAGCTGTCTTCAGGGCCTTCTTCCCTCCAGAGGCTCTAGAGGAGTGTCCTTCCCGGCCTCTTTTAGCTTCCAGTGGCTCCAGGTGGTGTTTGGTTTACAGAATTACAGCGGTGCCTATGTTTTCACATGGCCTCTCCCCATAACCCTGTCTTTTCCTGGAAGGACACATGTCATTGAATTTAGGGTCCGTTCTAAACACTGGCTTTTACTGATCTTACTCGCCTGCCGCTCCCTTCTTAATTACATCTGTAAAACCCATTTTTCACGGGCTCATGGGTGAGGATTTGGGTGTACATAGCTTTGTGAAATCTACTCTGGGCTGCACTCATACCTTGACACTTTTCTAATTGTGGGACTTTGTGCCTGAGTTTCCTCATTGTTAGAATGGGGGTGGCTTGGGGCAGGCCCTGCTACCTTAATGGGCTGGCAGTAGCCTCCAGGTGGGTTGGGTTACAGTTCAGGGTGAGGCCACACTGCCTGAGCAGGCCTGGGGAGAGGGGTGCCCAGAGAGGCATGGCTTCGAAAGTGGTCTGTGAGTGCAAAGTTTCAAGGCACAGATCTGAAAGCAGGCCCAGCCTTTGGGTGTGAAGCAGGAAAGGCCAAAGATGGGCAAACCTTTGAGGGGCACAAGGGCGACGTGCAGCTGGGCATGCCAAGGGGGTCATCCAGACTGCTGGATGACCAGGCTTTCTCTTGGGGTGAATATCCTTTCCCTGCTTGAACTTTTTACAATGCAGGGACCTGAATGCTTTGACCAGGTGAGAAGGTGATGTGTTACAGGAGCTCTATTCCAC